CCCCCCCCGCTTCCGAACGGGGTTGCGGAACGGCACCGGGATCCGACGGGACCACCGGGATAATCGGGACCCGGCGGGACAACCACCAGCCACCCCCCACCCGGGCAACCGGGACAACCGGGACCCAATGGGACAACCACCCCCCACCCGGGACAGCCAGGGCCCGATGGGACAACCGGGACCCAGTGGGACAACTGGTACCAACGGGACAACCAGGACCCAATGGGACAACCATCCCCCATCCCAGGCAACCAGGACAACCAGGACCCAACGGGACAACCAGGACCCAACAGAACAACCAGGGCGTCACTGGGCAATTTGGACAATCAACATTCATTGGGACAGCCGGTACCTACTGGGACAACCAGGACTAAGTGGGACTGTGAACAAGCATCTACTGGGACAGCTGGGACTAAACAGGACAGCCAGCACCTGCCAGGATAACCTGATACCAAACAAGGCAACCAGAACCTACTGGGACAAGTGTTAGTACCAGGACCCAATGGGACAACTGGGACTCAACAGAGCAACCAGCTTCCCTTTGGGGCTGTCAAAACAACCGGGACAACCAGTGCCCAATAGGATAACTGGGGCCTTTGGGATCACTGAGACCCCCAGGATCAGCACTGCGACTCCGTCACTCCTGGGATCACCAGGAACACCAGGATCACCACTGGGACGCTTGAGATCAGTGGGAGCCCCGGGATCAGCTCTGAGACCCCAGGGATCAGCACCAGGATCCGTGGGATCAAGGGGACCTCTGGGATCAACCAAGACTTTTGGAATCATCAGAAATGCCAGGATCACCCCCTGGCCCCAAAACAAATGCCAACCCTCTGGATTACCTCCTGGGATCAGCGCTGGGGTCACTCACACCCAAGGATATGAGACACAAGCATCCCTGGGACAACCAGCACCCCAGGATCACTGGGACCCCCAGAATCACTCTGCAGGATCTCCAGGGATCCATCACACCCGTGGACATTGGCACCACAGGACACAGCACCCCAGCACACAAACACCCCAGGATGGCTAAAAGCTGCTCTTGCCCCTTTCGAAGATTATTTTATTTCTCCCTGGGGGAGAGCTCATTTCCTTGGGAAATTCTGCATGGGCTGAACTTCCAGCTGCTTTATAAGCCTCTGGAAATTGATTATTACAAAGAAAAGACTGGTGTACACACGCTGTTATCACTAGCCCTTGGGCTGAGCAGGCGATATTACAGCAACAAAGTAAACTGCAAGGAATTAAAGCCAAGCAAAGAGCTTGGATTAATTAATTTTCCCAGTGTTTCAGGTGAAAACCCCCAGCTCAGGATGCTGTAACTCACAGTAGGTGCAGCAGCCCACAAAGCTTCAGCAAGGAGCAGGTGGAAGGAAGAAGAGCTACAGCAATGGGCTGTGCGTCGCACTGCAGTGGGGATGTCCCACATCCAGGTCATCCATGCAAACCAGAGCAGGCTGGGGAGGAGAGGTTGCCCTTCCCAGCCATGGTTCAGTGTGGGATGTGGTCAGCAGAGCAAAGGATGTCCCTTGGAGGACTCAGCAGCCCTCAGTGTGCTCTGCTTGGTGCTGGAGGTGGCAGCAGCCTGGCAAAGCAGCACAGTGCTCACCACAGCTTTGATCTCATCCTGTCCTGGGGTGGGGAGGCTGCTGTAACTCAACACTGCCGTATCTAATGCTCAGCAACTGGTGGAAAGGCTTCCTTGTGTGCACCTATCTCCAGAGCAGGCCGCTGGAGCCATGGGGTTCAAGGGGTCTCATCAGCTCCTGCTTGTCAGGATCCACCCTGAGAGCATGGAGCCAGCACATATGTGCCCTGATGCTCGCACAGGTGAGAATAAGGCTGGGAGGGTCTGTCCCCAGGATGAAGGAGGGCAGGAGCAGTGCAGGGTGCCCATGACACCCCTCTGCCACCACACTGCGTGGTGCAGGGACACCCACAAAAACAAGCACTGCTGTTTCAGCTCCCTGGCTTGCATCCTGGCCAAGCTCTGGGTCTGATTACCAGTAACTTGTTCTAGCTGCACGAAAGCAAGTTGTTTCTTTGCTATTTTTTTTTCCCTTCTGTTTATTTTTGATAAACCAGTTGTGAAAATAAAGTGACATTGCTCATCCCCCTTGTGCAGAATGCCAGGCGAGCCCCAGTCTGCTATGTGACATGCAGAAACGGCAGGGCTCTGTCCTTCCCTGCAGCTGTGATGTGCCCAGGTTTCTTGTGCATTAGTTTGAGGGATGACATGGCTCTGTTGTATGTGTGCTGGCAACAGAAAACAAACAAAAAACCAGTTATTTTCAGAAGTCTCATCAGTAAAAGCATTTTCCCTGCCAAAATAAACACCCTTTCCAACCTTCCCAAGTAGGGCTGCCCAAATAGGAACCATGAAGGGTGCAGCTCCGTCACAGCAGCGTTGCTATGCTGGTGGCAAATGCCATCAAACTTGAATGAGGGCACAAGAAGCCTTAGGACTCAGCCTGGGAGCTTCTCCTCACTGCCAGAACTGAGGCATTGGTTTTGTGATGTTCTCTTAAAAAATGCACGGTGATTTAACGGTGCAGCTCTAAAATCTTTCTGAAGTTCCACTAAGCTCTTGGCCTCTGGTAATTTATGGTCAGCCTTCGCCAGGAGGGAAATAGTGGTGAAAAGTGCTGGGATTGCTTTTTAGCAATAGGATGGAGCCCGTACATCAGCCAGTGGCAATGAACATCTCAAGGAGCTCCGCTGTGCTGGAGAACCCATCCAGTATGGTCCAAAGGGCTGCGGCCAAACTGCAGCAGGCCTAGAGGAGCCCTGCAGCGAGGCACGGAGCCGCTCGCTGCACACATTGGCAGTGTTACAGGGAGCTGTGCCCAGCTGACATCACCTTTTGATCAGTTTTCATTTTTGCCTTGTAGAACGAGACAGAATCCGGCCCAGCGGGCAGCATCGCCTCCTGCATCCGCTCGAACCTTTCCTGCTCATCTTCCTCCTGCCAGCAGAAAGACAGAGCCACGTGAAAATTGTGGCTGATTCCATTTGCTGCATTGTTCTCAGAAGCCTCAGGACATGGGCTGAGAGTGGTAGGTGCCCCCTTTCCCTTCCTTAGCTGAACAGATCTGGGCAGGAATTTATGCAAAGGCCATCTGCAAGCATAGAATCTTGGAGGGAGTTTCCTCAGCTGTCTTCTCCAGCTGTATCTACCCACGGGACTGTCTCCACTGCAGGGTGATCTCCCAGCAGAAAGAACTCTGAGCTGCACGTTCTGTCCCATGCCCACATCACTCCAGGCAACGTTCTGAACGGCGTGAGAGCACCAAGAGCATGGGTGGAATGGAAGCACAATGTTTTAGAGTTAGAGAATCGTGGAATCAGGTATCAGCCAGTGCATAATGTGTCCATGTTTGAGGAGCACTCTGGCAGATTCTTTGGTCACCTTCTGATCATGAGCAGCTTGCAGAAGGTAACAGTGACTTTGTGGCGTGATAGAAGGTGAATGGCCAAACTGACTCAAAGCACGAGGAAAAGGTGCAAACCCTGATGAGAGCAATGGAGAATCAGTCTGGAAAAGGAAAAAATGGTCAAAAGGAGGAAAGAAACCTTTACAGGAATAGCAGCACTGCCAGTGGCACTAACTGGGAACCTCAGTGACCTGCTCTCAGGGAAAGCAGAAAGAGAAACCAGTGCTGAACAGCATTCCAAGGGACATTGCTTAACCTCTGTGTGAAGATTTCTGCCTGTGACATCATCAACTTGACACAGCTGCAAAACATTACTAAAAGGCACGTTTCATTCATCTTTTGGGTTTTAATTGAGGTGATGATTGCAAGTCCAGGGCTCAAAAGCATTCAGGGAGTTTCTGTGAATACACTGAGTAACCCTGTTTGGTAAAAGTGACTGGTGATGGATTTCCTCTTTTCCCCAAAGAGTGGAACCCTGGAGCAGTGCAGTCAGTCTCCCTGCTGACCATCATCCAAAGGGGTTTGGGTTGCTTTTTTCCTTTGGCTTGGGCTTTTTAGGCTCTTCTCTGCATAGAGTTTGCATCTGCAGTTTTCCAGGCTGATACATCACAGCATTCTGTTTGAAAGCAAACTTATACATCTTTTCCTTACATAATGTTTGTTATTCATAATCTCAAGGGAACAACTTCAGTAGGATAGGAGGAATCTGTCTATGATTAGCTTCAAAACTCTTTGCACGCCTTTCTAGGAGAGAATAAAGAAAATGCTTCACTGAAATTTTCAGTCAAAATAATCAGACATACGGAGACAAAAGAAGTCAATTTCAGTTTTCCTTCTTGAGAAATAAAGCCACCCTGCCCCCAGTGACAGGCAGGCTAGAAATAAGGCCATGCACTTAGGGAGGGGGGTCACACAGTTATGCCCCATTTACAGTCCTTCCCAGCTGGCTCCTGCTCCTCCTGGGACAGATGGATCTACAACATGTCCACACAGCTGCCCAGAAGGGATCTGCAGCCAGGCAGTGGTGATGCAGACAGGGACTAATTCAGGGTGGGATGCACCCATTGCTCCTGTCAGAGTGGAAGCCTTGCCACCACATTCCTATCAAACAGCATTAAGGTTTCAAGTGTGACATTTAACGGGGAAGGACTGGAATAACTTCAGTGGAGAATAACGCAAAGAAGAAGTCTGGTGATTAAAAGCTTAAGAGAAATGTCCATTGTCAGGAACGACAGAAGAGGATGGATATCCCAAAGAGTTGGTTTCTAAGCAGAAGGCTAGCTAAGTGCCAGTTGCCACAACATGAAACACAATAGTTTAGCTGTAAACATTACAGATCATACACTTTGGAAACGAGCCTCCCCGCTGCCCCTCGCACCTCTGGGCACTTTGCCTGATTGCTGATAGTCAGCAGATGACTGGGTGCTTCAATCACTCTGTCCTATTTTAGCCTCTTCGTGGCAAAGCTGACGGGAATGCAAGAAGCACCTCCAGATAGCAGCTCTCTGCATCGTGTCAGATAGCATTTCAGTGCCACGCTGCTTCGAGAAAGGGGCAGAGCTGCCATGCCCTCCTCCCACAGGCTTAGCTGAGCCCTCATTACCACGCAACATGGGGGTAGCAAGAAGAAGCAAAGCTGCCAGGAAAAACTCACCAGGCACATAACTCTGTTTATGGGAATCATTCCAGGTCTGATGTTGCCACTGGGCTTCAGGGCATTCTGCACATACGTGGGGATGAGGAAAGACTCACTGTACCAGATCTCAAACTCTGCAAAGCAAAGTGGGTTGCGATAAACAGGGCTGTAGTGAGCAGAGACAAGGGTGGATTTCTTCCAGCTCCCTGCCCGTGGGCCAGGCAGGACCTCAGTGCTCCAATCTCCTAGGTTTCAACCTATGAGAACAACTCGTTAATAAAGACAGGGCACTGTCAGCTGGCAAAGGCTGCTGCTCGTGAGGACCTGATGGCCCTGGGAACAGTGTGAGAGAGGCAGGCCACCAGGTGGCACTGGTCCTGCACAAGCCGCTTGGGAGCAGGGAGCCGGCAATTTGGAGTGGTCAGGACATTTGAGGGTCGGATTTCAAAAGCAAATGCTAAGGAAGCACAGCCGAATTCCATCCCATAATAGCCAGTGATAACACACAACAGGTGCTGCCATGCAGTGGGCATGTTGTCTTTATAACGCTGGGCATTTCCCAGCAAGCAGCTGCACTCTGCTCTGATCCCTTGGCACGTTTCCCCACTTCAGGAGCAGCTCCTCACAGGCAGCATCCCCCAGTACGACCCACTGCTCTATGACACAGGAGTCAGGAGTAATTAGCAATATTAAACACAGACCCTGCAGTGCAGACACTGTGGACATGATGCAACACCGCTGACTTTTCACCCTGGTTTCAGCTCTGAGCTGACCTCTTCGATCTGGGATGACACAGATATTTGTCTGAGTGGGTCTGTGCCTGAGCATTTAAACAGCAATCATCTGGAGCACCCCAAAAATACCAAACCCAGGTCCAACAGAAACCAGTGGCAAACTTACTGTGCAATCATTATTCGACCCTGTGTACCTCCCAGAACAAGCCACGCAATTCTTTCAACGTGGGATTCCCTGATGGATACAAGTTGTGCTCTGGCAAGTTTGTAGGAAATGAAGTGTTGCTATGTCCACAGCATCCAAATGTTTGGGACGCTGGCATTTGTGCACCTACTGTTCTCCATCACAAGCACAAACCCGGGCACACAACAGGACCACCCTCTTGGTCCTGCAGACTTAAACTGAGTGCAGTGGAGCACACCACCAATTCCCAGATCATGCAAAGCAGAGGTGTGACTCATCAGCACGAGGGCTGTGCTCTCGTGTGAAGAACAGGCTAAAAGGACTGAGCTCTGCTTCCTACTGCAGTGCTGAAATCTGAGTAATGCTCATCTCCCACGGGTACAGAGGAGACAGCTGCAGCTCAGAGCCAAAGGCAGGTGTTGTTCCTTAGCCACCATCTATATTAAAAGAAATCAAAGGTGAGAACCAGGGCCATCAGTGAGAGTGTTATTATTGACTCTTACCCCACAGGAATGCATCTGGTGGCACGACCAGGGAGCAGTGTGTCATTATCTGTGAGAGAGAATCTACAGAAATCCAATGGTATGGCAAAAAATAATAATAATTAAAAAAAATATATAAAAAGATAAAACATAATTATCATCAACAAAATACAAATCAGGAAGGCAATGAGAAAAACCACAACAGAGAATGACAGGGGCTTGTTGTATATGCAACAAGTCATCATCGTCGTCGTCATAGAATGGCCTGGGTTGAAAAGGACCACAATGATCATCTAGTTTCAACCCTCTGCTGTGTGCAGGGTGAAGTGCTGAGATGCTTTTGAGCACTCCACTCTACTGAATGCTGCTCAGAAGCTGCCCTGGTGTGCCAGTACCTGAGATGAGTTTGTTCCTGCACCGGTCCACCAGGTGCTGGCAGTACTGGATTTCTGCCTTCAGGTCCTGCAGTTCAGCATAGCTACATCTGTACTCTTCCTTCAGGTCCTTTAACTTCATGATGAGTAAAAACTCCTTCTCATCAATGATGAGGCGTCCTTTCTCATCAACATACTCTCCTGGAGGGTGAGAAAAGGAAATTAAGGTTTCTTGTGAGGGTGGAGAGGGACGAAGCACAGTCATTATGCTTCGAACCACACGGTAGTTACCCGGTTATACTGAGGTTAACCACACAGCTGATATTTCCTTAGACACGCTTTCTACAAAGACAACACTGCACTGGTGTGGGGCAGAAATCATATCTGAACTCCTGAACCCACTCAGCCATCAGTCCCTGTGAGATGCAGGTGAGGAGCACGGAGTGGACCCGGCAGCCTGCTGGGAGCTCTCACGTAGGGCTGTGGGGGCTCTTACAACAAAGACTGTCCCCCAAAACCCTCAAACCCCTCCTCATGGCTCCTGCGGTGTCCCCTTTGGGGACAAAGGGCTGATCAGCTCTTTGGACACCATTAAGCCAAAGCTGCTTCCCTCAAATAAACATCTTTAGTTCTTATTCTTGCAGTTTCCAGACCCCACGAGTTGGTGGATGTCCTCATAAAGAGCAAAGGCTCCAAAAAAGTAATGAGTCTGTGAAAAGAGAAACGCTCACTCTGATATAGCTTCAAGCTGACACTGCTCATCGTTTAGCCAAAAGGGCTCTGTGTTGTGCAGGGTCAGACCCTATGGGAAGAGACCACTCACAAAGCACAGACAGAAGAGCTGTTTTGCAGGAAGGGAAATGGAAGCCAGCTGTGCATTAGGAAGCCTAATGCAGGGGCCATGGCTCACTGTTCAGGGCCTTCTTGCTACTGACCATTCCCTTTCTCTTTCATTCCCTCCCTGCTGCACAAAAATCTGACAAGCTTTCTAGGCATATTCTACCTAACAAACATCTCAACACAGCAAAGTATCAAGGAACCTACCCCCATTTTTTCCTCTAGCACCTTGCAATCTGGGATTTTGAGTTCCATAAGCCAGACACTAATCAAGATGAACTCAGACTGTAGGGCACTGGCACTGCTGCTCAGATAAACTGTGGATGTCCCATCCCTGGAGGTGCTCAAGGCCACATTGGCTGGGGCCCTGAGCAGCCTAAGCTGGTAGATGCAACCAGCCCATGGCAACAAGGTGGAACTAGATGAGCTTTAAGGTCTCTTCCAACCCAATTGTTTTATGATTATATGAGATGCAATAAATCTCCACCACGGTAAGGCCAAGCCCACTCCCCATGACTCAGGGAGGGAAGATTTAGGTTGGATGTCAGGGGAAAGTTCTTTACAAAGTGAGTGGTGAGGTGCTGGGACAGGCAGCCCAAAGAGGCTGTGGATGCCCCGTCCCTTGAGCTGTTAAAGCCAGACTGGATGGGGCCCTGGGCAGCCTGGTCTGGTATTAAATGAGGAGGTTGGTGGCCCTGCATGCAGCAGGGCGGTACGAGATTCATGATCCTTGAGGTCCCTTCCAACCCTGGCCATTCTGTGGCATGTTTCTGTGACTTCTGCACTGTATTGACCTGCATTTGTCAGCATCAAAGCACAGAGTGAGGAGTGCTGAGGACTCCAATGCAGGAGGAATCAGGTGGCAAGCCACAAGGTCAGCTGCACAGCTAAGGCATAAAGGATGGCGAGCAGCAGCGGGGTGTTGTGGTCCCACCACTGAAACTGCTCTGAAACCAGCAGCTCCCTCTCCTGCCAGGTTCTTACTGGCCATTCTGCATGCACTGACTTACCCTGCTGCGACCGCTCCTGCCTCTGAGCCTCCAGAGCCTTTTTGATGTCCTCCATTTCCTGTTTGATGATGTTGATCCTCCGGGCAACCGTACTGCTTCTCTTCCTCCTGGCGAGGAGGATGCTTTTGTTCTCTTTAAAGATCCTGTTGATCTCACTTCCACACTCCTCCTTAAATTGCTCAAATGCCACTGCCCTGGATGGAGGGGAGCTGCAACAGAATTCAAAGAAGACACACAGAGCTGTGGGGAGCTCAGTCTGTTCTGCCCTGCAGTTAGACCATGGGAGTGGCCATCACTGAGGTTTGTGGATGGTACTTCAATGGGACCTTTGAGGACCCCACTGTGCCAGCTGCATATGGTACCATCCTGTGCCATTCCTGTCCCCCCTACATAACTCCCTCAAGAGTTATTTCCATGGAAATCACATTCCTCAGATGTCTCAGAATTTATTCTTTCCTGGAAAGAGGATTTCTAATGGTTTGAATTTTCAGAAAAACAACTAATCCCGTTCCTCCCTATTGTTGAACAGAAATGCTTTTGTTCTTTTCTTGCTGGATTCACAGCACAGCCTGGCTACGTCTGCCAAGCAAAGCCCTGAGCTGCATACAGTTGGCTGCTCTACACCGCTGCCTCCCATGGCCTTTAAGCTCAGCCTGTTTTGAAAGACTGAATTCAAAGTGGCATTTGTCAGTCCTGGCTTCTCTCTGAAATAGCTTTGAGGCAGATGTGCCCCCACAAAGGGCACCTTTTACTTCAACACAAAGCACACAGCAAAAGGAGAGCGTCTCACGAGACCCTTGGCACTGCAGGAGGAACACCATGCTCCAACATGCTGCTGCTCTGTGCTGCAGTGGCGTGGGTCTGGTAGCAGAAAGGAACTTAAAGTCTTCATGTCCCTCAGTCCAGCCTGGTCAAAGCAAAACCATCCACTGCTTTTCACGGGTTGATCTCCTAAGGGCATTTTCAGGCATTTCAGAGGCTGCATGAGACTGCTTTCCTGCCAAACTGCTGGCAGAGCACCGCACAACGGCCACTGGGCAGACTATACAGCTTTGGCAGCTCAGCTCCAGAGCTGAGCCATTCAACTTGGGGTTGTGCCATATGCAGCTGGAGCAGCAGCCTTCCCTGTCAGCCACGGTTTACAGAAGAATACTAAAATACATGCAGAGGGCATGGAAGAACACAATAGAATCACAGAATATCCTGGGTTGAAAAGGACCACAATGCTCATCTAGTTTCAACTCCCCTGCTGTGTGCAGGTCGCCAACCAGCAGCCCAGGCTGCCCAGAGCCACATCCAGCCTGGCCTTGAATGCCTGCAGGGATGGGGCATCCACAGCCTCCTTGGGCAACCTGTTCCAATAACAAATTAAGGTGCTTCAGGAGCAAACTCTCCTGGGACAGCTTCACCCTGAGATGCTCTCCCCAGCTTGCAGGAACAAGAAAAAAGCAGTCATCTTCCACAAGGACAATGGAGATACTCCTATTAATTCAAAGCTGCACTGCTTGCTGGGAGCTCTTGGCAACAGCAGATGGAGATGGGAAAAGTAGTGTGCAGGCTGGGTTGTGTGGGGTCCTGGCTGAGCTCCTGGGAGCTGAACAGCTGCATGCACATCCTCACAGAAAGCATCTTTGGTCTCTGTACCCTGTGCATATTTTACCTCGTCAACACCATCAAGAAAGAAATGCAAACCAGTGCTGTATTTCTGTTGTTGTGCAAGCAGATGATGAGCACACTGTTGTGTTTCTGGCAGTTCTCCACAATTCCGCCCTGCCACGGAACTTCCTGCCATGACCTCATGCAGATATTGCCCTCTTTTCATGAGTGTCTGGAGTTTGGTGGCTGGTCATGAGGTCTCTCTGCACTCTGACCAAGAGGTGACAAGTACTGTGATTTTACATGGGACCAACTGGAAATGTAATGAAATGGCAGAAGGTTAAAGCTGCAGGCGTGTTCCAGAATACCCAGAGAAAGGGGGAAAAAAAAAAAACATGCCAGCATTTAAGTCAGGAACTGACTCTTGGTCAGTAAAGACCTCACACTCAACACTCAACACACTCAACTGTGCAGCACAGAGCTCAAAGCAGATGGAGAAGATGACAGGCACCAGCATACTTTGGTGCACTGCTACGTGACTGTGTACTTCTGCATCCAAGCAGTGAAGATCTCTGATTCTCCCATTTACTTTGAAGCAGGTAGCTGTACTAGGGAGACACAGAGCCACCACCCTGGTGTAAACCATCCTCTGGCAGACAGGCTAAGCACCCTTTAAGGAGAGGCTTACCTGGGCCGCTGGGAAATCTCCTCAGAGACTGGCTTTGAGGGCTGTGCATCATTTTTTGCTGTATCCTCATTCTTTGCTTTCTCTTTCACATCCAAATTCTTGGTGGGAATGATTACCTGACTTTTTGATGGTAAGTGAGCAGCCAGGTCTCTCCCAGAAAAGAAGCTTTTAGTTCCTTCCTTCCTGATAGAGGGGAAAAAGATGAACCAGATTAATTTCTTTGTAAGAGGGCACTGGAACCAAAGCATGCTGTAGGTGTTAGGTTTTCCAATTCAAAAGCTATCCTCTCTCAGCTCTCCTACATAAACACCAGCCTGGTCTGCTTGGGATAGTTGGTGTGACTTCAGAGAGACCAAGGAAGGTGTTCACCAGACCTCTCTCCATCTTCCTAGAGAAGAACTGCACAGAGAGGTCCCCCATTTCATGCAGCTACTGAAGCCTTGGTGGTTTATCTCCATGTTTTCTCAAGGATTTAAAGGAAATGTCAGGGAGGAGCCAAGCCACAGAAGCAGTTGCAGAAGTTGCCCCCTCAGGGACACCACTCCTATAAATTCTAATATCTTTCTTTCTGCTGTTCCCTCTTCCCCTTCACAACCTCCTCTCAGTTTCACTCCATACCTGCTCCTCAGTCCGTTGCCCCCTTCTCTTTCCACTTGGCAGATCTCATGCTACCCAACACTTTAAAGATAACCTTCAGGTTTAACGAGTCTCCTGATGCCCAGCCTGTTCCCTTCCTTGCTCCCTCTCTGCCTCCATCCACGTGTGACAACATGTTGTCCAAGAGAAAAATAAAAATAAGGAGAGTAGTTTGGCTGCTGAACTCACTTGAACTGCTCACTGCTTGTCCTGAATTTCTTCTTCTTCTCATCAGGTTTGGGTGAAACTGGGGTAGGTCTGGTCTCCACATCTCGTCTCTTCAACAAATGGTGATCCACATCAACTATACCCAACTGAACATGGGAAGACATAAAATATGGACCAGGAGGAATAGCTCTGCAGCTGTCTAGGCCATGATATCCAGCCCATACCCAACAGTGACTTCATATTGCTATAGAACCTAATCTGGAAATCTTTGTTCACTATGTGAACATCTAGAAAGTACAAATTAAAAGCCAAAATTATCTACAGATTCATATGCTGAATGTTTTACATTCCCAGAGGGTCTCATGTCATGGAAATAAGTTCAAGCTTTTACTATAAATCTCCCCCAAAACTTTAGACAGTTGTAGATACTGAACGATTCAGAGAGCATTCATAGTGTTTTACTGATGATATAAGCATAACACAAACAGCATTAGTAACAGTGCAATTAGTAACAGTGCAATTAGTAACAGTGCAATGGAAAAGCAGCCTCAGAAGTCTTCATTTAGTGTAAGAGAATCACAGTTTTTATACTTTCTCTCATACTGCCCCACTCATAAAACAGGAAGAGATGTTAAGTGTTAAAATCTACTTCTCTCAAGGTTTGGCTTTGTTTGTCAGTTCTAAATAAAGACTTGAATCGGCCCATTAGGGACCGTGTGTTTTTTTGTTAGGCAAATACTTAACATTTTCCCTTGGGCTTTTTCTCCCAGATATTCAGAGCATCTACAGTTAAACCACAGAACAAGTAGATGCCCTGCAGAGCAGATAATGATTGTTTTATCCCCACTACTGGGTGAAAGAAAGGCAAGGAAATAACCACTTCAGAGAGAAAGAATTTTGTGATGAAAACTATAGATCAGAGTCGACAGCTGCATTTATGGTTTCCATAGCATATGCTTATATTGCTCCTGAAATTATAAGGGTTAAAAGGGGCCTCATCAGATGCAGGTGATCTGGGCCTGGCTGACAGGCAGGTCGCCTTCTTAGATCAGTTTAGGCTTTCTCCAGTCGTGCTTTGTAAATGATTCTCTTCAAATAATGGGCCAAATGCTCAGCTGACAGGAATGCTACTTTGTTAGCGGGTGAGCACTCACCCATCACACCAGTAGTTCTGAGTTCAGATTTCAATAGGAAGTTCTCAGCTTGAGGCAATTCAAGGTTCAGAAGCAAAGAAGATAATCCCACATTGGGTTTGGGGCAGGACCTAAGCACCAGCCATTACCTTCTGAGCAGCAGCAATAGCAGCAAAGTCGTTTTTGTCTATCAGAACATACTTGCTTCGCAATCTGGTTTCCACTTCACCTTCCTGTTGTCTTTGGGGAAAAAAAAAAACAACACAACAGCAGCCCCTTACCGTTGTGTTGAAGGACTGTTTCATATGCCAAAAGCTGGAATACCTCCTGACATCACGTTTCCAAATAAAGTATATTTTACCTGTGATCTCATACCCAAGCACCCTGTCTCGATCCTTCTGCTCTTCCTCTGAGTGTTGTAACCTGTTCCCATTCTCCTTGTCCTTTCTTTTTTTAGACTGTATAGCCTATGGAAGCTTTCCATGGATACTTAAATACTTAGCAGAGCCTTTTAATAGTCTAAATTAAATGATATCACATCTCTTCAGGCATGTCACTCAAATATCAAATCTTACTCTAGCACGGAGGTTTGCAAACAGTGATTTGTTTTTGTTCACTGAAAGGATCAGGTGAAGCACTGTCCATGGGATTAATTATTATTACTGTTCAACTAATCAATTAAAATCTGCAAGTTAAAAAGAAAACAAAACCCAAAACCTGCTGCTTCAGCACAATAAAAGGAGTCTGAAGTTCAAACAACCACTTTGGTCTTTGGTCCCTGAAAAACCAGACTGCCTGGTCTGATGACATTACCACAGACAGCTGAGTTAAGGCAAGTTTCTCAAGAGCAGGCAGATTTTGTACAGCAGCATCCTGCTGTCGCTCTTACAGCAGAAAAATCTAATTAGGAGTTGGACTGGATGATCCCTACGGGTCCTTTCCAAGTTGGAATAATGACTCTGTGATCTGCTGCCTCGCCAGACCATGGTTGGTTATGGAATGGTTGGTTAGCTGCCCTAACAGCCTCATCCCTCTTTGTTCTCTGCTGTTTCATGACATGGAAACTGCTTGCCCATTTTTCCCAGCCTGCCATTTACATTCCCTCATTCGGCCCAAAAGAACATCTCTCCTTACTCACCAGTAAGACTTGCAAACAGACACTTTCACCCTTTCTCACCTCCACACCACACAGACAGAGAACACTTCCTTGGAAACAGCCACACCATTCTTATCATGCTCTTCAATATTTGCTTATGTGTGAAGCTTGTCATTCAGAGCCCTTGCACATGGCTTACTGGTAGGTCAGAGGCAACTGTCTTCTTGAGCAAAAGCCAGCAGAAATAGTCCAGAATGCTGTTATCAGTTATTCCCTATACTTCATAATTAATTTCCACCCATTAAGTGTGATATCCCAGTTGATATGGTTCCTAAACCTTACTGTGAAATACATCAATCCTGAACATCTTACCTTACAATCAGCTTGAACTGCCTAAATACCTCCTGGACTTGCCTGAAGTTCATTATCTGAGGAAAAGATGCATACAGTGAAAACACAAGTAAGCATTTCCATGCTGTGATCAGCTGCACCAATTCAAATATCTCAGCTCGTGAGGGCTCTGCTTTCCCATATGTGGGTACGAGCACTGAAGGAGAGACACCTTTATACTGTACTTGGCTGGAGGTGGATACGTTGCTTGCTCTGAGAGAGGAATCTGATAGATTGTGACCAATTCCATGGGGTGCACAGTCAGCAAGGTAACAAACTATCAACAGCAGTTTTACAAATGGCACAAAGGGCACCTGCTGACCCACCTGCAAATTATGAAGTCACTTCTCACTGCTGTCCAGGACTGTGTTAGAACTAGCATCTTACCCACAGATATCAAAGAAGGGTCATTGAGCCACACTGTCTTTGTTTTAGAGGAACACAGGCAAGTAATGGGGAGTGCAGCTGAGCAGGAATCTGCACTCAGGTCTGCCATGGTCTAAGATTCTAGACTTAAATGTGAAATGCTCTTTAGTCTGACTCTAAAAGATTCTTTAGTCCCATTAAAGACATTACTCCCTGTGTGAAACTCCTTTGTCCTCTGCCTTCCCTGCTCCATGCCCACCCACATCACACGTTGCAGCCCAGGTAAAACACACCTTCACATGAACCTTTATTCTGCTCCATTCCTGTCTGCTGGAGGGAGAACACAGAGATGTGGAGAGAAGACAATGCTCACATGAGATGAGAGGGAGTATCTCAAGCTGTTTCATTTACAATCATAGAATAGAATCGTTCAGAAAAAGGAAAAGACCTTCAAGATCAGCAAGTCCAACCATCAGCCTGACCTACCAAGTTGAGCAGCACCCCCAGGTTCTTCTCTGTCAGGCCATTTTCCTGCCACATTCCCCCCAGCCTATGACTCTGCTGGGGGTTATCATTAAGTTTCCAAAAAAGCAAGAATTCTATGAAAACAAAGAGACAGACCCTAACAAGACAAATATATATACACACGATTTTGCAGCATTTCTCAAGTTAATGACAACCTCTTCAGAGGTTTTCTTTGCTCCTGCCTTGGAATAAAATGGGATGGAAGCAGCATATAAGTCCTTTTCTACTTAAAAAGCTACTTACGTCAATTTCATCAATGGTTCCTTGTAGATATTTATGGATTTGAGATTTAATCTCTGCTACCTGGACATCAGTCAGAGGGCCATAAGTCACCAAAGAACGATTTACCTAAGACAAAAGGCAAACAACTGAGTGTCAGTGGATTACAGAGACCTCAGCAAGTGCCAGGCTGACATTGGTCTCCTCGTGTTTAATTTCTGATTGTGACTTCTTGTCAGATCATGGGGCATGGAAGCATGCTGAAAGCAGTGCATTCCCTTTCACACTTTAACCAAACAAGAAGGTGGCTTCACAAGTCTTAAAAAAAAATCTACACTGCATAACAAATGAAGCCACAGCACAGTCTCAGCACAGAGCTTTGACTAAACCCCATCAGATTATGCTGAAGGCAGAAAGAAGAATACAGTCACGTTGGGTAGTGAATGACTGATTCCACAGCAAAACAATGATCACCACAAAGCCCTGATTAGGACCATCCATGGTGGTGCAGCCTGTTCCTCACCAAGCTGTCATGCATGGCCAGCTCCTGCTTCAGAAGACTGATTTCCTTCTCCAAAGTCTTCACTGTTCCCTAGAAGGAAAACAGAAGGGTAAGCGAATGACCAAATGCTATTAGGGAAAAAAAAACCCAACCTGCTGAAAAGCAGCATATCCTGAACTGCTGTATAACATCACAGCTGTGTGCCAGCTCCCCCAGAGTTGGCTGTCAGGTTTGCATCAGTGAAATAGTGAGTCTGAAAAACACTTTGCCTTTGATTGGCTTCCAACAGGACAGCTTCTGTTGTGTCCTGGGTGGACTGCCTGCAGAGCCAGCCCAAGCCATCTAGAAAAAGGCTACCTGCTTATTACCTTGCTGCTTTCCTGCTCTGGTGCTGTAGGGGTTCTCAGGTTCAGGACACAAATACTGTCTTGAAAGCAAAGAAATATGCAGTGCTCCACCATTACTGAACTCTGTAGGAGTTCCAACATTAACTTTAATAGAGGCAGGAGTTTAAAATAATCTATTTTTTTTCTGATATACCTGAATGTAGTCAGTCTCAGGCTGGCTGATGAGTGGAATTTCATTAAACTACCAAATCTCTCTCAGGTTCTTAAGGTAATTATGCTAAATATTAATGAAATGAGAAAATATAACTCCTTTCATTGCCTTTCTCTACATACCTCTGAGTCGTATGTCACATTAACGACTGGCTCTGTTGTGATCCATTTCATTCTGGTAGCAAAACGAAGAGAAGACAACTGAAAAACACATTTTTTAAGTAACTGAAAGATATATTGGTGAGGACACGATGTTCATAATCTGTTATTATTCAACTGTATCAAATCCCAGTCCATAGCAAAGTAAAATGTATGTAACTCCATCCAGCATCACAGAGTTTGGGATCCCAGAAACGTATCTTCCAGTGCTTGTTGGCTGCTGTGTGATGAGCCAGCTTCAGCTGATGCTTTGTCTCTTCTGTTTTGTGTGTGGACAGTTCTTTGTGTAACAGACTTATCCCCCATCTCACTTCTCATTCAAATAGCACATCCTAATATCCCTGAGACATACATCAGAGCCTTTCAGGCTTAATTCCTGCAGTTGTTGTATCTTGCAAGCTGCAGCCAGAAAGTCTTCCCATTTCCTGGGTAATTTTCCTTGTTTCTAGATGCTACCACAGCACAAATAGGAGATGAACAGCACTCTGCCTTGATCACAGCCCCATAGCAGGTGACTGTGTTTCCCTTTTTTGCTCTTTAAAAGGCTCTTGGCAAAGAGAAAGATGATTCCCTTCTCTGTGTCACAGATGTGGTTAGGATGATCCATTTCACACAGTGAGGCTTCTGCCAATTTTATTCTTTCACAGCCTTACTGCTAGGATGCTACTCCTGGTTCCAGTATCCCAAGAACCAACTGAAAGCCAGCTCAGTTCTGACATGAACTGGTGCCATTCCACTGACTCTGTGACGTTACGTACCTTTCAAAACACATTTGCAGAGCTGAACCAACAACAATAATTAATACCATCCAGAGTGCTTGGATTTTTGCTGTTAGGACCTGCCATCATTCAGGCTGCTTTGCACAGTTTGCATCACAAAGCAGATTGACAAGAGCAATCTGTTCTCTGAGCCATTGAGATAAGAGGAGCTATCCAAGTTTTCTGATGGATGAGACAGGATGTTTCCCTGGGACTCCTGCCACAGCCCTCCAGAAGATACTCTTTAACTTATGGCCAACACAATTGCAACAGCAGTGTGAAAAAGACTTCAATTCTGCGGAAATAAGCTCTACTTACAGTCTCCTCTACATGCAGAGCTTCCCCACAGATATTGGCCACTAGGACAGTATTGCATTTTCCCCCTGAAACAATAGATTAAAAAAAAAAAGAAGACAGTAAAGAATTTAATTTTGTTGCTGTTTCCTTTTGTACAGAAAATAATACATCATGTGCTGATAGAGAATAGAAAATAAAAGAAGCAACAAGGACCACAGCTAGTTTGTAAGTGCCCCTCTAAAGTCCCAGGTACAGAATGACTTAGAAATGAAGGTGAAACGTGTTTTTTACCTCTTGATTGTGCAGTAAGGAAATGAGAATACAAATTGTAAAGGCTTGAAACTGGATAAATCAGAGCAGAGGATTTTAAAAACCCTTGGCTAGTACAGGATAATCTGACAGGACATTGCCACTGCCTCCTGTAAGAGCAGTGCAAGACTTCCCAGAATCATAGAATCACTTCTGCTTGGAATACCTCACACATCCCTCTGAGTTTATGTGTTTATGTGTAAGAGTCTTCAGCGCTGACAGGCTCACCGAAACACTATTTTCTATGCATTCTACACGGGGTTGGTGCAAGCCACAGCTCTTACCTAAGGCGTCCTTGAGAACGTGGGTAAGCTTGCTCTGCCGGAAGGGGATGTGCTCCCTCTTCGGGTCAGCCAGGGCAATGATGATTTGCTCAAGGAATGACAGAGACTTGTTGATGTACGCGGCTTCCTTCAGCACCCGCCCTTCAGACTGCAAGGGAAAGCAAAAAGCAAAGCTTCCACGATAGATGTTTCTGTTTGAACTGCAGAACGGGATGGCGATCTCATTCAGACCAACCCAGTTTGTGATGTAGAGCTCCTTTCAGTTTGAAAACATAAGTCTGCAGAGACTTCATTACAAGTCTACCAGATCTGCTAGCTTCCTTCACAGTGGGGGAAGGCTGTACTTGTAACATGGGATTTCTCCTGTGATCGATACAGAACGTCACATGGGACCTGTGGAGGTCAGTGCTGAGCTCTAAGAAAGTCTCTGCTCTAAGAGTTTGCCTGCTGTGACCCAAGGCTGCAGATTTGCACTGCGGCTCATGGAACAAAGAGGAAAATGATGAGCTCCTTATCAGGGCTGATGGCTGTGGCCCTTCCCTGTGTGGAGAAATGATAAAAAGCAGGTAAACTAACAGAGCCTGGGTTACAGGCTGAGCCCTGTTGTGGAAAGCCCTGCAATTTCACCTCCAATTTGTTGATGACTGGCCTGCCCACCCCTGGACTGAAACATTTCTTCCACTACTTACTCCAGTCTTGCTCAGTCTCTCGGATCCTGCCAAGTCTATTAAGTTGATCTTAGAATTAATGCATCTGATATCTGAGAGAACTCTGACACGAGTCTGAAGGGGAAAAGAAAATAAAGTGCACTTAATAGCAGGCAAAACTGACACACAGCAAAAGCCAGACACGTAAAGATCCTCAACCATTGGAGTCCCTAGAAAAAGCTGCTGGAGCTCTTACCTCAATATAGATAGTAAAGATGCAATGAGATCTGGAGGAATTTTTATTCAGCGAGTGTTCTGCTATCACTCTGTTGGTCTCACCCTGCAAATGAAGGCAGAATTGAAGATGGTGTTTTCAAGCTTCTGCACCAGTGGAATAAAGGGAAATTAGAAATAGGAATTTGAAATAAGAATAGTGATGGTTCAGCCTTTGTTCTGCAGACTGAGATTCAGTTGGTCAGAGCAGCACGTGGTATTTGCTTCACTTTCTTATTCAAAGGCTTCTGAAAGCATTTCTGCAACATTGCTAAGGGTCAGTTCACTGTAACTGTGCCTTTTACCAGAAACCACATTGTCTGTATTTCCACTTTTATGGCTTAGCTCACAGCTGTGGCTTTGTAAAGAACAGTCGGTAAGCCTTGTGCAGACTCAACACCTCCCTAGCTGTTTCAGTTTCTTGATGAGAACCAAAGAGCTTCCCAGGCTTTAAATGTCACAGAAAACCACATATATGCTAGCCACAGGTTTGTATGATGCTTACAGAAATAAAAAACAAAACAACACTGAAAATTATGTTGCAACTGCTTGATAGGACTGCTAGTCTACCTGGTGAGGGCCAGAAGTGACTGGCACTGCACTAGAGTCTAGATTCAGGAGCAAGAACTAATGTGAAAACCTCTACACAAATGCATGAAAGTTAAGCTGCATTACCATCTTCCCTCTTCTCTTTAGAAGGAAAACAGAAGCTGTTGTGAATCACAGGGCCTAGCTTAGGGCACTGTGCTTCCTTTAATGAAAAGGCAAGCCAAAGATTTTAAGGACACCAGATGGCTCCTGGTAAGAACACAATTCCTGCAAACAGAACTAATGATTTACTCATGTTTTCCTTAGGAAATAAAGCGCTCCCATGGAAAGAAGGATGCAGCCACGAGTTAAGCAAACCTCCTTCACAAATATAACCCACGGTGTGAACATCCCTGCTGTAAAATCTTATGGGTGGACCTGTGCTGTGACCATCCCAAAAGTGGCTCTGGAAAGGCTCTTTTCTTGAAGCACTGTCCTAGCACATAGCTAGGCCAGACAGGTGTGTTGTTTTTCAGGAAGAAATTCCAGTGCAGGTCAGCTGGTGGATCTGAAGGGATCCCAAATATTCCTTCATGTTGAGGCACTCACTGACATCTTTGTTGATGATCAGGGAAGTTTCAGTTTGCTGCTATGTCAGACAAGTCTGGTGACATGAAGGCAGTCTCTGGCTACTTGAACCATTCTGGTGCAGCCTGAAACCTCCAAAGCTACTTTTCATGGCCTCACCTCTAACATATTTCCTCCAGCACTCAACTTACCCTGGAATACACTAAAAACCAGGGTTTCTCTATAGAAATCTTTCAGAATCTCTGCACAAGGGACATTTTCCTTGCAAGAACGTGGACTACAAAGCATTACCAGTCCTTCTACCCCTTGTAAGAGAACAGAAAGGGCTCAACCTTTGCCCTGTCCCTGGAGGTGTGCAAGGCCAGGTTGGATGGGGCCCTGGGCAGCCTGGTCTGGTATTAAATGGGGAGGTTGGTGGCCTTACCTGTGACAGGAGGGTTGGAGATTCATGATCCTTGAGGTCCCTTCCAACCCTGGCCATTCTGTGACTCTGTGTGATTCTGTGAACCTCCCTCCAGCAGTCCTGACCACCCACCCCCTGCATCACTGACTTCCCTCAGCTAAGCCAAGCAATACAACCAACAGATGAGGCCTAATATTGGTTGCTCCTTGCCTCAAAAAGGAGATTGAGAGCATCCTCCTCGTCGCTAACAGAATGTATAGATAAGCCTTTCACATAAACACCCTGTGGGCAATCCACTACAGCCATCTGCACGTCACTGGCCCCACTGCTTGTCGTGGTGGACAGAAGGTCACACAGTGTCTCGTTGTAGATTTCCAAGTAGGATATCCTGACAGTGATGAATGAATCAACAGAACACGCGATTGCTTTGAAGACCTGTACAAGGATGAAGAAGTAGTCAGTGGCAGGGCTAGCTCACAAACAGAGCTACCAGCTATTTATGGCTTTACAGAGAAGCTATTTATGGCTTTATGAACAGCTGGAAGTTCATCTTTGTGTGCAGAGCTAATTCAGAACTGTGGTTGCCTGAGGGCTGACAGGGTAAGGCAACATTTTTAGTTGACTTTAGTTTAGTTTCTCAGAACAATGATCTTGAAAACAACTCTTCTGAAGACCTTCTCACATTTGGGAAGCAACCCATTGTGTGAACTAGAAGAATCAAACAGGAACAACCTCTGTGAATGACAATACAGCATAACTGCTTGATTCCTCCCATTTTTGTTTCAGGCTGTATCCTTAACACCCCCACATTGGTTTATCACTCCATCCTGCTCTGCAATATCACTGTTATCAGTGCATAAGGTCACAGCACAGTAAAACGAAGGTACAAAGTGTTTTACAGGATCCTTTCTCTCCTTAATGATCATCGCTGAGATAAAACAAAGCAAAAAGGAGTTGGTGGAGATCAGATGAAACGTTTTCACCGTGTTAAAGCACTTTTATGAGTATCAGCAATAGCTGATATGAGTGAGTTGCTATCATTTCTTTCAGTCTCTTTCCCCATGCAGATACTCTGTACCTGCTGCACAGCTCGGGGTATGATGCCTCGATGCTTGTACTCTGCAGTTGCTCCAGTCATTGTGTAAGTTTTACCAGCCCCTGTTTGCCCATAGCACATTATTGTACCTAGAAAAGATTCAAAGCAAAAGAATAAACTCAGGAGGGAATCTCTGCATTTCTCAACCACCACACCAAATAACAAAAAGAGCTGCAGATTACCATTATAGCCAGTTAAAGCTTCAGACACCAATTTCTTAGCTACAGTCTCATACGTCAGTTCCTGGGAGGTATTGTGAAGGACACCATCCAGTCTGAAGGACCAGTCGGTCTGTTTGTTATTCACAACTCCCTTCTTGGCATCTTTTTTGATGTATATATCTATGCTCTGAAACCCAAAAAAGGAATTAAAGGTGACTTCAATAGCCAGGAAAAGATTCAGGAGATATCATCCAAAAAATATCCACTCATTGAAGAGCTGAAAGTGAGCAGAAAATGGAGCACAAATGATGTGTTTTTACTGACCCTTGTGGCCATACTCTAGTAATAGATGTTCTGAAAAAAAAAGGAAACATGGCTAGGCTCATCTTTCAGTGATGTGTCTGGATTGGGGTACCAGGGAAATGATTAGTTGAGCAAACAGAGGTCTGTATTAACAAGGAAGGTCAAGTCAGGAACTTGCATTTGGGGACCAGAAACAGACTGCACCATAGGGAAACCCCTTAGGATGAAATGGTGGTTACCACAGGGCACTCCTCAAGGATCAGTCACAGCCCTCTGCAGGATTTCCATTAGTGACTGCATCACAGGAGGCACGTAAACCACTGCCACGTTTGCAGATCCAAACTCAGGAGGTCATCAGCCAAAAAAATTCTGTATGACTTCATGGAACGGAAGAATTTCTTTGAGAAACATTGGAATCAAATTTCAAGCAGTTTGCACTTGCAATCCGTTTCTATCTACCTTGTTGTCTGGCCCAAACTTGATCACATCTTGAGCAAAATGAGCTGTTGGCTTGACTCGCACAAAGGCACGGACTTTCTTTTCAGCTGCATGCATTCTGAACAGAGGAGAAGAAAAAAGAATAATCAAAAAGTGTTGCTTTCCCTAAAATGTATTATTGGTTACCAAAAGAGGAGTGATAGAGTAGTAGAGCTCTAGAATGAAGTCTTGATGAATGTTCAGCCGCAGTTTCTATCCTTCATGAGGAGCAACTGTGGGCAAACGACTGCAGGAAATTACTTCCAGCATTGTTCTGCTTGGAGAACTGGGCACAAATTCCTCTTGTGCATCAGTCCTATTAACATCCAGCAACTCAAGCTTGTCCTCCCCTTAGCCCTGCAGAGCAAAATCACTGCAGGAACACAAGATGGAATCTCTTAGCTCCTAGCGAGCACCTGATCTTCAGGTTTCCAGAAGAGAAGCACACGTCTGACAACTCATGGCAAAAATCCTGTGCATAGAATCATGAAGGTTGGAAAAGACCACTAAGATCACCAAGTCCAAGCCCAGCCCATCACCAATAATGCCCTCAGTGCCACATCTCCAAGGTTGAACACCTCCAGGGATGGTGACCCCACTACCTCCCTGGGCAGCTGTGCCACTGCCTGACCAACAGCTGTAGCATTGCATGGGGTTGATGCGACCAACATGAACCAGAGAGAGAGAAAACAGATTCAGAACGAGGGGAATTTTCCTCACTGCAACAATGCAGTGCCCATTGTTCAGCATTTGGAGAAAGCCATTACTCCTGGAAATATTTACTTTCATTGGAAGATGGGACGGAATCAGCCCAACGCCTCTCTGGCCTACTGTTAGCCAACAGAGTAGAAACACAATATCCTGCAGCTCATTAGGAATAACCAGTCTGATTTTTAATTGGCTTTTGCCTGCAGAGGAACTTTTATTGAAGCACTGTGAAGCAAACTACATATTTGTTGGTCAGCTAGCTGTGTCTATGGCTGCTTCACCACTCTAAACTCCCTCCCCCTTTGAACGATAAATACTCAAAGGAGAAGGGCAGCCAGAAGGTCAACAGCTCTGTTTCACAGGTGGTGTCCCCAGGGGTTCATCTTGGGATTGGTCATCTTCAGCATCATTATCAATGACATAAATGATGGGATCGAGTGCACCCTCAGCAAGTTTGCAGGCAATACCAAGCTGAGTGGTGCAGTTGAGGCAAGAAGAAAGGAGGGATGCCATCCAGAGGGACCTGCACAGCCTTGAGAAGTGGATGTATATCAACTTCACGAGGTTCAACAAGTGCAAGGTGTTGGGTCAGAGCAATCCCAGCTGTGAGTACAGACTGGGAGAAGAACTTCCTGAGAGCAGCCCTGTGGAGAAGGACTTGGGGTCCTTACGGATGCAAAGCTGCACGCGAGCCAGCAGCCTGAGCCTGCAGCCCGGGAGGCCGACAGCAACCTGGGCTGCATCAGCAGAGGGGCGGCAGCGGGGACAGGGAGGGGACTGTATAAATATTCTGTTCTGTGATTCTGTGACTGCTTCGTGGGGCCCCGCATGGAGCGATGCTGGGGGAGGGATTGGAGCTGTGGGAGCGCGTCTAGGGGAGGGCATGGGGATGCTCACCTCTCCTATGGGGACAGGATGAGAGCTCTCCTATGGGGACAGGGGGTGTGCAGCCTAGAGGAGAAGGCTCTTGGAATCACAGAATTGCCAGGGTTGGAAGGTACCTGAAGGATCATGAATTTCAAACCCCCCTGCTGCATGCAGGGCCACCAACCTCCACACTTAATACCAGCCCAGGCTGCCCAGGGCCCCATCCAACCTGGCCTTGAACACCTCCAGGGACGGGGCATCCACAGCCTCCCTGGGCAGCTGTTCCAGCACCTCACCACTCTCATAGCAAAGAACTTCCCCCTGACATCCAACCAAAATCTCCCCTCTCTCAACTTCAAACCATTTCCCCTTGTCCTGCTGTTAACTACCCTTTCAAACAGTTGATTCCCCTCCTGTTTGTAGGCTCCCTGAAGGGAAGACTTCACTGTTGCCTTTTAGTACTTAAAGAGGGTTTATAAGCAGGAAGGAAACTGAGTTTTTATATGAATAGGTAGTGATAGGACACAGGAAAGGCTTTAAACTAAAAGAGGAGAGATTACATTAGATATTAGGAGGAAATTTTTAACTCAGGGGGTGATGGGGCACTGACAGGGCGATATGGCCCTGAGGAAGTGGACGAGGCCCTGAGGAGGGGGTGGCGCGGCCCTTAAGGTGGCCGGGGCAAGGAGACGATGCGGAAGTCACAGGGCCTCGAGGATGAGACGGGACCCTGAGGAGGGGGTGACAGAGCTGTGAGCAGGACACGGCCTTGAGGAGCAGGGCAAGGCCCAGAGGACGAGGTGACACGGCACCTACCTGCACCCCCTCAACAAGGCCAAACCGCAGCGACGCCGCTAAGGCGGCGCGGAGCTGCGTGCACCGTTCCCATAGCAACACACACTTCCGGCCGCCGCACCGGAAGTGGCTGAGTGAGGCGGAAGCGGGAGGCGGAGCGTTTCCTCCCGCGGGGCCGAGGCCGCGCTACGGCGGCCGGGAGGGGTCAACGTGCGGGGGAGGCGAAGCGAAGCGGATCGGAGCGGAGTAGGGAAGCGCGGTGCGGCGGTCAGGACGATGCTGGAGGCGGCGGCCGCAGCCGAGCCCGAGTTGGACCCCGAGGACCTGGTACATTTCTCGGTTGGAGACCTGCCCAGCCGTGGCTACGGCGTGATGGGCGAGATCCGGAGGCAGGGCAAGCTGTGCGATGTGACCCTCAAGGTGCGGGCTTGGGGAGCTCCGGGTGGGGGCGAAGGGTTTTCGTGAGGTTGGGGGTGCGGGGTCCCTGCGTTCCTCTGGGGGGGGAGAAGGGGGAGCTGAGGGTCCCCGTTTGGGGAGGAAGAGGGGAGATGAAAGCCTCACTGCTCTCTTAAGGGAGGAGAAAGGAGGAGGTGAGGGCACCCGAAATCCCTTTGGTGAGGAGAAGGGAGAGCTGAAGGCCCCAGTTTGGGGGGAGAACCCCCATTTTGCAGGAGGAAAAGGGGGGCTGAGGGCCCCCACTCAGGTCCTTTCAGTGAAGAGAAGGAGGAGCCGAGGGCCCCATTTTGAGGGGAAAAGAGGGCAACTAAGAGCCCTCATTTTGGGGAGAGGGTGAAGGAGACGAGTCCCTTTTATGGGGAGAAAGTGGGAGCTGAGTGCTCCCCTTCAGCTATTTTGGCATTGAGGAGCGTGGGAGGAGGGTTCCCTCCTCCCCATCCCTTTTGGAATCAGGAAGGGGGGCAGCTGAGGACTCCAGTATGGGGGAAGAAGCTTGGAGGGATAAGGGGGATGCTGAGGGACTCTATTTATGGGGGAGCTGAGCGGCCTCCCCGGCTATTTCGGTGGTGAGAATTATTACAATTAGGGATATCCCTTTTCCATCCCTTTTGGAACAAGGAAGGGAGGAGCTGGGGGCCTGAATTTTAGGGGGGTGAAGAGGGGAGCTGAGGGTCCCCCCTTCAGGTGAGAAGAAGGTGGAGCTGTGGGACCTCCCATGTCTCTTTGCTGATGAAGATGAGGGTCCCCTTCTTTAAGCAAAAGAAAGTGGGGACTCGCACTTCTCCCCCATCCCCCAGTACTCTTTGGTGGGAAGAAGGAGAACCCCCATTTTGGGGATGAGAGGCAGCTGCAGGCCTCCTCCAGCTGTTTTGGTGTTGAGCGTATGGAAGCAACGATCCCCATTCCCCATTATTTTTGGAACCAGGAGGTTCCAAAGTAGGTTCCAAGTAGGTGAGAGCCAGGATAGGATAAGAGGTGATGGCATCAAGATGGATTTGAGATGGTCAGGTTGGATATTAGGAAGCGCTTCTGAGAAAGAGTGGTTGGGCACTGGCACAGACTGCCCAGGGAAGTGGTGGTGTCACTGTCCCTGGAGGTGTTCCAGAACAGTGGAGATGTGGCACTGAAGGACATCGTCAGTGGGCATGGTGGAGTGGATCTCAGTGGCCTTTTCCAACCTTCCTGACTCTATCATTCTCTGCAGCAGCATGGTGAGGCTATGGCTGCCCCAGAGCAGGTTTCTGTCACTCAGTTGTTCTGCTTTGCTTCATCCAGAGGTGGACAAGAAACAGTGTCATGGTCCTGGAGTATCTCAGATAACACCTCAGTGTTGTTCTGCAAAAGTCACTGGGAATAGTTTTCATATCAGTAGGTTTACCATCTCAGAAGTACTTCTTTTGGTTTGTCTTATCTTTATGTCTTCCCTTGCAGAGTGGGAAATGTAAAGCAAAATTAAAATCTGGCTTAAAGAGATCTCCAGTGCAGCTGTCAGGATGCTTGTTGTTGCTGTGCTGGGCAGCTTGATGGCTGAGGGCACAGTGTTGGCCCCCACTCCTTTTTCATATTACGTTTTCTCACATCAACTGTCGTTGTCTGGGCAGGGTGTGAAGCCTTTCATTTCTGCAAAAGCTTAAAATGTATTTAACAGCATGCCTCTGTCTTCCTCAAAACGAGTCCTAATTTTTTCCACCACCAGGATAATTTGTAATTACACCCAGGAGACATCCCAACACCACACGATGAGTTTGACAGAGGGCTGGCGGGGCGTTCCCACATTGGTTTGAATACCAGTCCAGCTTTCTTTGTACACCATGCCCTCAGAATCCTCCATTAGTAGGATGGCTCAGGCTGTTCTGAGCCATCATGTCAGAATTTTCTGCCTCTCTCTCTCTCTCTTTCAATCAGATTGCTCAGCCCTGGCCAGTGCGTCCTGTAGCAATTGAATTAGTGCTGCTGCTGTATGAGAGCCAAGCCATCACTCAGTACAAGGTGTCTCCTCCAGCTTGCTCAGCACGCACTGCTGCGTGTTGGGAGGGTAATTATTCTTAGCTGAACTTGGGAAGTGTCTTAGAATCAGTTTGCTGGGTGCAGCTGACGTAAAAGCTGCTTTGCCTTGACCTTGCTCAGGAACGCATTCTGCATCAGATGAGGAAGCTGAATCCTGCATAGGAGCCTGCAAAGGGAATCGTCTGCCAGGGGCAGAGTACTGAACCCAAATAGGGATAGGATGCAGCAGCGTTTCAGGTCGGTACCTGGAAGAGCCTGCAGTGGATCCCAGTGTACATTGCAGCGCTGCAGTGGGTCTGTTGCCTTATTTTCACTCTGCTTCTTCTAAACCATCAGCTTAAGAAAGAAAAACACCTGCCCAGCACTGCTGTGGGCCAGCAACTGGTTTGGGATGTGACTGGCATCCCAGCTCGCAGCTGAAACAGGAACCAGCAGTGCTTTTGTGGCATGGCTCTGTTTTTTGGTGGCCTCTTTCCTGCTCTCAGTGTGGGCTCAACCGTTCTCAGCAAGAGAAGTGTTTGCTGTACAAATGGGCTTCACGTTATCAGGAATCATTGGTGCTCCTGCTTGTTCGTTGGAATCATTTCCCCTTGTAAAGCCAGATGAGCGTTTGTTCATCCAGATGGAGGTGTGGAATTGGGTCTCCTTTCTCAGAAACTACACTGCCACTGTTTGTGCTGCTCTATAGCAGCCTCAGCATCAGGCAGTGTGGTTTAGGCGTGATTATGAAGAAGTGCTGATGTGCCTGGCTTTGTCAGATCTCTGATTACTCCAGCTCAGCCTTGGGAAATCTGCTCCTGGTTGCCCATGTGAAAGCAAAGCATCACTGGGCAATGGCTGAGCCACGTGTCTTCCTCAAGGCTTAGGGAGTGTGCACCACCCAGAGCCAAAGCTCCTACCCCTTGTGGATGGCTGAGACTGGAGAAGCCTTTCTCAGTAGCTGCAAGTCAGCTCCTTCTACAGATGCTCCGTGCAAGCATCTGCCCTTTCAGTCTCCCTTTGGCAGCACCCTGAAAGCAGCTTAAGTGTTTACATAAAGGATAATTTTAGGATGATTTGGAAGAAACAAACGTGAATAAACGGAGGGAGAAAACAGAGGCACACCTTATGCTGTGGTCACTGTTAATTTTCCTTTGGTGAAAGCAGGACTTTGCTTACTAAGGCCAAATTTCTGCTATTGCTCCATTCTTTTGGGATCCAGGTCTGGGGACTCCTGAACTCTGTCTCAGCACAGCTGTTGGCAGGTTGTGCTGGTAATACTGCTGAAAATCCTCTGCTGTGCATGTGGGATTTGTGTCTCTCCTCATCCTACGTTGCTGTTACAGCAGAGCTGATTGTGGGTGTGCTGGTGATGAAGAAGTGCCAAGCACGAAGCGCTCCTAGCACATGCAGAATGGAAGCTTCTCTCCTGCACCATCCTGGGTCCTCAGGCTTCATCACCTGGGGCTGACAACACTTGCCCACCTTTAGAGATGGGTTAAGGCTTGGCATGCCATCTCTGCCCACGGGGGCATCTCCAGGTGTCACCTGCAGAGCTGGTTGGATGTGACTGCAGTCACTTACTGTGGGTTTTTAGATGTATCTGGGGAGCTTGGATTTCTGTTCCTATCCCTTTTTTTCCCCTGGAGGTAAATACAAAGCAGTTTCTCAGGAGATCTTGGGGTTCTTTTCAGACTGTGCTGCCATTCAGGTTCTCTCTGGAGCTCTTTACACCCAAAGCATTTCACACTTAGTACCATTTTTTTTCGCAGCACAAAGCTTTGAGTGTTATTTCCACTACCAGCACTGCCATTGGTTTTATCTTATTGGGAGAAATCAATGAGCTTTCTGCTAAGCCAGCTGTTTTATCAGAGCCCTGCATTAAAGATTTGGGTTCCAGCAGGGTCCCAGAGAGCCCCTGTTGCTCTGCACACGTGTGGGAACACTGCTGGGACCACCAAGCACAACGAGCCCAGGGGCAGAGAGTAGCTCTCTAATAGGAGCTGCTCAATTTAAAACCAGATAATCTTTCATGCACGCGAGACCTTCACAGTAAGGATCTTAAGGAAATCTTGGTCTGCAGAAGTAAGGAGCTGCTTTGGATTACAGCTGGAGTCGTTTTCTCTCTTCTGTCCCCACGTCTCAGCTGCTCTGGGCTCTATTCCCTTATATGAAGACAAATATTTTTAGCACTCTGTGTAGACATTAAACCTGAAGTGTTAGCAGAAACCACGCGTTTCTGCACTGAGCTTTGTGCTTGGCTTCCTTGTGCATAGCAAGCAAGCTGATTTCACAGCGTGCTTGCACTGCTTTCATTTACTTCCCCTCACAGAAAGCCACCAGCTTAATTCCTACAGTGTCCTCCTGAGTCTGGAGTGCCAGTGCTGTGCCAGCTCAGGAAAGGAGCGTGTTTTTAAAATGATCTTTGCAGCAGAGGGCTCAGGAGACATCTCAGCTCTGCAGCGTATTGTCCCAAAAACAATAGATGCCTTTAGTACACCTACACCATTTTTCAATGGAGAAAGCTTCTTTGTGCCCTGGAACTAGTTAGGATTTCGTGGGAATGTAAGGGAGAACACGCCTTCTGTTAATCAGCTAGAGAAAGGCGATTCTGTCATATCTGTGGCTGAAGGATGCTTTGCAAGCAGCAGTTCTGTTCAACAGAACTATACACTGCCAATACATAAAGCAGTGTATTTTGCCTTAAAAGAAAGGCCCTGTTCTTTTGTAGGAGAGAGAGCGTATCATAGAATGGCAGAGTGGCTTGGGTTGGAAGGGACCTTAAAGATCAATTCCAAGCCATGTTGTGGGCTGGTTGCCTCACACCACCTCAGGCTGCTCAGGGCCCCATCCAGCCAGATCCTGAGCACCTGCAGGGATGGAGCACCCACAGCTCTCTGGGCAGCCTGGATGCAGCACTCTCAGTGCTCAGAAGTCAGGCAGTTCTTGTCCCAGTCTGTACTCATAGCTAGGATTGCTCTGACCCAACACCTTGCACTTGTTGAACCTCGTGAAGTTGATGTGCATCCACTTCTCAAGGCTGTGCAGGTCCCTCTGGATGCCATCCCTTCTTATTGCCTCAGCTGCACCACTCAGCTTGGTATGGCCTGCAAACTTGCTGAGGGTGCACTCGATCCCATCATCTATATCATTGATAAGGATGTTGAGGAGCACTGGTACCAAGATGAACCCTGGGGGATGCCACTCAACAACTGCCCTCCATCTGGATACAGAGCCACTGACCACAGCTCTATGGCTGCAACCATGGCAACTCTTTATCCACTGACTAGTCCACCCTCCAACTCACATCTCTCCAGTCTAGTTGTGTGGGACTGTGTCAAAAGCCTTGCACAAATCCAGGTGAACACCAGTTGCTCTCCCTTGGTCAGCTGATTGCCAGCACTAAAAAACCAACAGACAAACGCAGTGTTTTGTGATTACTTCAACAGGAATGCTCAATTCCCAACCCCATCACAGGTGTTGCCACAAAATGATCTGTTACTGCCAATGAGAGCTTTCCCATTCAGCTCAGAGCCGAAGCTCCCCACTGAGATCCTGCTTTAGATGCCAGTCCCATGGTGCTGCAGAGTGAGGGAAGCTGAATGCTGAGTGCCAGCCTGGTGTACAGAAGTGCCTCAGTGGTTGGTCTGTGCCATTAGGTAGGCAAAGAGACCCTGTTAGCAGCAGGGAGTGCTGCTGCAGGAGGTGCCAGCTGTGCCTTGGCACCACGCTGCCTTTTGGAAAGGGTTTGTTGTCCTCTGGAGCGTGTGCAGCTGTATGGAAACACAGAACTAAAAGGAAAACCATTCCTTTGAACAGAAAGGGCAGTCAGCTCCAAAGGCAGCTGGGTGAGAGCTGCTCTGTAAGATCAAAACAAGAACTGAACAGACAATCCCTCTGCTGCACGAGTGCTTGGCAATGACAGGAATGGGGTTACTCAACCCAAGGGAGCCTTTTTTGCCTTTTTTTAAATGTTCTGCTGTTGCTTCTGGAATTAGCAGGCAGGGCTGTGATGGATTTGGAGCAAGTGGAAACCTGCTGGTGGACAGAAGTTGGACTTGATGATCCGTATGAATCCCTTCTAATTTGGGTTCTTTTGTGACTGTATGAAAGGAAGAGGCAAGGGGAGCACAAACAGTCATCAAACTGCACTGTGACTGCATTGGGTGGACAACACATGTAGGAGAGCACGCTTCTGTGTTCAGAGGGGAGGGAGATGGCTCGTCTTTGGAGATGGGAAGCACTTTTTGAATCATGAGAGGCAAGCATGAATTGAGAGGGCATGTGCTGTGATCATCCTCAGAAGTATTTTTCACCTCGTACAGGAAAAACAGGTATTGCCATTTGCCTGCAGAAGTTGAGCAGTTCCTTCAGGACTTGTCATTAAGCACTGATGGTACAAACATAATGATGGATTCTGGCCTGGAGATCCCTGCTCGTGAATCTCCTCGAGGGCCTTCTATCATTGCATGAGCAAATTAAGAAAAATAACAAATAAAACAGGATTGCAAGTCTTATCTTGCACAGCACCTCTTGGCTGGTGGCGATGGCAGCACGCAGCTGGCCCGGCTGTTTGCTGATGCAGCCACAGAGCTCCCATCCTCCCTTTCCCCTGCTAAGACAGCAGAAATGATTCCCTTTTTCACACAGCTTGTTTCTGTTTTATTTCCCTGACCCACAAAGTCAGCACGAGGGAAGTGTGGATGGGGATGCAGGGCTCAGCTCTGTGTGGGGACGCAAGGTTTCTCTTGCAGCAATTAGAACCAGCCCTGATGAGCTCACAGCCCGCCTTGCTGGTGCAGGATCATCCCAGTGTTCTCACTCTGTTAAATGGGGCATTCCAGAGGGTGAAACCCTTTCCTTAAAGAAGGGTGAAACCCAACCAGGGAACACGCCTGTCCTTGGGAGCTGCCGAGCGGCTGGGTGGTGCTGCCCAGGACAAGGTATTTCTTCCCTGTGATGATACAGCTCTCATTAACCCAGCTGGAATCTTGCTGTGTGACTGTAAGTGATGGCTTCTGCAATAACCAGGTGCATTATTTCTAGGGAGGCGTTGCATCGTGGGGTGGAACTGTGGCTACGCATCCCTGAAGCTGTGCCACCCTTGGGATCGGAGTGCAGGGATTTGCTTGGAGAGCACAGCTCTGCACAAGTGCTCAAGCATTGCTACAGTCTGTTGTAATTGCAGCTGGAGGATAAAGTTTTTCACAAATTGTGTAGAAGTGAGATTCAGTTCAGATGTTCTTGCACCCTTCAGTGGTTGCTCAGGCACATTCTGCACTGCCCAGCTGGGAGCTCTCCTCCAAACCCATCTGGTACCTTCTAACCCAACGTCAGTGCTGCAGGTGGGCTGGAGCCATGCTGTAGTGCAGCACTTGCTGTCTGTAGCTCTATTACAGCTGATTCCTCCCTCCCTCCTAAGGAACACCATCCTCATCTGCCAAGCCCAAAAGCCATCTCATTCCTGCCTCTTTCTGCATCGTAGTCAGTTGCCACAGTCATCTCCTGTAGGGTGAAGTTAGCAGAGCAAGGAGAGAAGGGGAAAGGCCCATCTCTTGCTTACACGTCTTGTGCAGTGCTCAGTTCCTCTTTCTTTTTTCTGAATGCTGGGGATTTTGCTTTCTAAACTCCCAGGAAGTCATATTGACAGAGTGCAGTAGATCTGGGCTTAAAGGAATGCACAAGGCAGTGGGTTTGATTTAAGCATAAAACCCCAAATGCAAGTAACATTTCTGCTAATAAACTGCCTGGACATGAAAAGGCAACGAAGCTTTTTGCAGTGAGGTGCATAAGAGAACAGAAGGATTCTTGGCTGACCTGGAGAGCAGAGCACCCGCTGCGCCAGCTTGTTTGCCATGCTGAAACAAAGCTCAAAAGGGAAAATGTTGCTGAAGTGGGAGAAAAAGGCAGTTCTGTACCAGCTCAGATGGGTGTAGACTAGCCTGAGTCAGGTTAGTGTGGAAAATGGGAAAAATAACAGCTCTGACCTAATGTAGAGGAGTCATCAGAGCAAGGATTGGTGTAATTTTGCAGTGAGTAAAATCTTTTCAGCATCTGCAGTGAGAAGTGGAATTGGAGATGCAAGAACCTCTCCTTGCTTCCAAACCTCTCTCCATGAAGGCTTTTAGAGGATATAAATGTGAGCTGCTGCAGCAGATCCTACGTAGGCTGAAAGGGGATGAGGTTGTGGTAAAGGTGACTGGCTTTCTGTCTATGGAACTGTAATGCCATCACAGTGGTAATTAGGAGGCTGAAAACCAGATTCAGAAGTTCAAGTTCAAAAGACAGAGTGTTCTTTGCAGATTGAAATTGTCTTTCAGCCCTCAGGCTGTGCAAGAGGGAATCATCTGGACTGTGTGATTGGTGGTGGATGGTGCTGACCTTCTCTCCTGCTTCTTTTCCTCTCCTTTTAGGTGGGGGACCATAAATTCAGCGCTCACCGGATCGTGCTGGCAGCTTCCATCCCCTACTTCCATGCCATGTTCACCAACGACATGATGGAGTGCAAGCAGGATGAGATCGTCATGCAGGGGATGGACCCCAGGTAAATTCCCCAGGCAGCTGTGCAGGGTAACGAGTCCTTTGCAGGACTTAGTGTTGCATGTGCAAAGCTTGAAAGCCTGCCCTCCATGAACTGCACTAGGAAGGATTTTCTGGAGGGATTTTCAAGCAGGTCGTGGCTGCCCCATCCCTGCAGGCATTCAAGGCCAGGCTGGATGTGGCTCTGGGCAGCCTGGGCTGCTGGTTGGCGACCCTGCACATAGCAGGGGGTTGAAACGAGATGAGCATTGTGGTCCTTTTCAACCCGGGCCATTTTATGATTCTGTTAGCAGTGCCCTGTTTCAGGTTAATTGAATTCAGTAGATCTCCCACTCTTTCTCCCCGTTATTCAGCGCACTTGAGGCTCTGATCAACTTTGCCTACAACGGACACCTGGCGATCGATCAGCAGAACGTGCAGTCTTTGCTGATGGGAGCCAGCTTCCTGCAGCTGCAGAACATCAAGGATGCCTGCTGCACCTTCCTCAGAGAGAGGTAAGGGGCTGCCAGTTCACGTGCTCACTGCTTGTCTTCTGCAGAAGTCATTTTGTGGCTTGGGTTAAGCCAACACGATAAGAAGGTCTCCGTCTCCTGAGGCTCACTGTTCTCCTTGTCTATAAAATACATTGTTTGCAAGATGCTGCATCTGGGGACAGCATAAGGCCTTGGCCAGCTGTGGGAATTATTATCTACAGCAAAACTGAGTTTACATTTCCCTTGCTCAGGGTTAGCCAGGTACCCAGCACAACGCTGCCTCTCCATTAACAAACCCATCCTCCCAGCAGTTCCCCTTCCTGCTGCTGACTGTATGGGAGGGGAGGAACAAACAGACCCAGAGTTGGATAGGAAGCAGTGGCAGAGTTAATTGATTCCAGTTTTTCCAGTCCTCTAGCTGATGTTTGGCTGTAAGATCATTCCAGCAGCATGATCTGGAAAGCAAAAAGCAGGGTTATTCCTTGGAAACATACCACAGCTTCAGGCTGTGCCAGGAACCTGATGTGCTTCTCTTCCCCCTCACTCCTCAGCCTGATTTCTCCGCAGCTGCTCTTAGTATTCCGTGGTGGGAGATGAAACACACATACTGAATGCAGTGTCTCCTCTAGTTGTTACATCACTTCTAAATAGAATGAAAACTATGGATTGAGGAGAAAAAACTGTTTCCTCTGTTTCAGGATGTTCCAGTTTACTGATCCACGTGAATCCCGAGTCTCTGTTTTAAAATGAGGTTATATGAGATTGTAGAGTATTCATTTTTCTTTCAAAACCATTTTACTTGGGGTTGTGGATGTGACAAAGTTGGAAAGAGGTGGGTAGTGGTTGATTTAGAAGCTCCTTCTAGCTTTAGGTGGCTGGATCTAGATCTGAGCTAATCAAGGTTGTTTGGTTTGCCAGAAGTTTGGCTGCCACATTTCTCCCACATCTGGAGCAATGGAGTATTGAGTTAAGTCCTTGCTTTGAGTGCTTGGCTGTCACTCAGTAACAAGAAACCTGGTGTACTCTGTCCATTCAGAAGAGCTGGAGCACACCAAGCTCTCTTTCTTATGTGGGAACATGACTGGGATATTTCACCTGTGCTGTGCTGTAAGCAGGCCCTCTCTGGCTGTTGTCTCAGTTCCCAGGGGCAGACCTAGAATGGACACTGCTGTGAGATGCAGTCTGTCCCCCACGTACAAACTGTGTGAGCTCAGCCTGAGGGTCTGTGTATGTGTAATCTGGGTCCAGAGTAATTGAAGTGTCAAAGAGGAATGCAAAAGCATGAGCTTCAGACCTGCATAGATTGGAGTGCATGGGAATGCAAGGGGCAGAGCTTTGGAGAGTAGCTGTGTGAGCTTTGAGGGTCATCCTAATGTGAAAGTTCCCCTCCATCAGCACTGTGCATTGCTTTTTAGGGCAGTTTTAAATCAGGCCATTTGCCCCTGAGCGAGTACAAGTGGTTTCACATCCTTTCCTGCATCTGGACACCACTGCCAATAACTGGGCCCCAATGTTTCCCCATGTGAACAGCACGTACTTCAGTATCTGTTGATCAGTGCCACAAAGCATCACAACTGGTGGCTCTTCTTGAGCAATGACATGCCAGTGCTGGGCAGGGCTCCTCGTTGGGATAGAAGTGTCCAGGTCACATTGCTGCCTCTGTAGAGCACCTGCTTGTGGTGAGTATCACCTTTTCCAGTTGTTTATGCTGCTGAACAGCTCTGTGGAGCTGTTCTTGCTCCAAACTGTAGCAATGCTTCTCACCATGTTATCTCCAGCTGCTAAGGCATCTCTGGTGAGAAAACCTTCACATCAGGAAATGCCTTTAAGAGGATGTAACAGGTGCTGTTCTGCTGTATGCATACCTACAATCAATACCTGGTTACACTTTTTGTGCTTTGTGCTCGAATGCGGCTTTGTCCAACACTGGAGTTACAGAGGTACACACGTAGGAGGCAGAGATGTGGGAGAAGGATTGCTGGGCATGGCCTCACACTTCCCCAGAACTCACAACCCATGACCTTAGAGCAGAGCCAGCAGCCTGCCCAGTGCAGCTTGGCAGGTTTAAGGGAAGACTTTAGGTCATGATTTCCATCCTTTGGGTCTGCTTGCAATTGCTGCCCTGAACCCATTTGCTATTTTGTCATCATTCTGTTAAACTGACGTTACTTCTGCTCTCCCTCCCCTTGCCAGGCTTCACCCAAAGAACTGCCTGGGCGTGCGGCAGTTTGCGGAGACGATGATGTGCGCAGTGCTCTACGATGCTGCCAACAGCTTCATTCACCAGCACTTCGTGGAGGTGTCCATGTCTGAGGAGTTCCTGGCTCTGCCTTTTGAGGACGTTCTGGAGCTCGTTTCTCGGGATGAGCTCAATGTGAAGTCTGAAGAGCAGGTGTGTGTGTGGGCACAGAGCTCAGCAGAGCCACTTGTTTCCTTGGAGGATGAGGCTGAGGGTATAGGCAAAAGGAGCCTCCTTCCAGCCCAGGACTTCTCTGGAGCATTTTATAGTTAATATTCCACTGAATTTGCCATCAAGAAGCTCCTCTGGACAGGCTGAGCCGCTCTGGGATGTTTCAGCATTGTTGAGAATCTGTCAGTGTAAGAGAAACAGAGCCTGTCTTTGAGCCAGAAAACCTGTCCTGCTCCTTCTGAGGAGGTGACTAAAAAGCAGTTCTACCACTGCCTCCATGTAGGATAAGAGAGGGCTTCTTTAATGGATCTGTTTGAAGTGGCCCAGCAGACAACCCAACTTCAGCTTAGAGAGAGTCCTGTGAGTCAAGAGTGTGTGTCCCCAGGAAGCCAGGCTCCCTTTGTAATCTCAAGTCAGGAACACAATGCATCTTACTGCAAAGTAGCCATCCAAAACAGGGCAGGTGAATGGCATTAGGATGAGATCTGTGTCTGCAGTGATTGTGGAGGGAGCCTACAGAGACCAGCTCAGTGTTTCACAGGGGTAGATAGCTGTTACTGCAGGCTAAGTCAAGGCAAGGCTTGGCCAAAGCCAAGCTGCAGGAGAGTTCCCTGGTGCAGCAAAGAGCATCACTGTTCTCTCTTCAAATTGTCCTCTGAGATGAGGAGAAGATCACTGTCAATATGTGCTTTCTTTTCCATCAGACAACTGGCAGCAGGAGGAACTTGGGAAAAAAAGCAACAAACAAAACCAACTTCAACTTCCCTTGCCTCTATTCTGGCAGGTGTTTGAAGCTGCTCTAGCATGGATACGCTATGAGCGAGACCAGAGGGAGCTGTTCCTGCCTGAACTCCTCTCCAAAATCCGCCTGCCCCTTTGTCGGCCTCAGTTCCTCACTGACAGAGTGCAACAAGACGACCTGGTGCGCTGCTGCCACAAATGCAGGTGAGGCCTGGACATGGGGTAAGAGGACCTTAGGGTGGATAGTGGCATCAGAACACGAGTGTGCTTCAGCAGTCCTGGAGTCTGAAATTGTCTCTGTAGGTTGGAAAAGACCTTTGAGATCCCCAAGTCCAACCAGTGACCCATCCCCACTGTGTCCACTGGAACACATCTCCACAGTTCTTGAACCTCCAGTGACCACACCACGTCCCCGGGCAGCCTGTGCCACTGCATACCTACCTCACAAAGCAAAATGCAAAGCACCCTCCCCGTTTTTAGCCTGGCAGCAGGACTGTGTTGTACTCTGAAAGAATTGGCAGTGGTAGCAGAAAATCAGTTGCCTAAATCTGAGTTAAGACAGTCGGTTTTCATCACAGGGGGAATCAGGATCCACCAAACTCTGTAAATATCTCACTTTGGTTTTAGAGATCTAGTGGATGAAGCAAAAGATTATCACCTCATGCCAGAGCGTCGACCGCACCTCCCAGCATTCAAGACCCGTCCTCGGTGCTGCACGTCGATTGCAGGGCTGATTTATGCTGTTGGAGGACTTAACTCAGCAGGTACCTTGCACATCCTCTCCCCACAGCGAAGAGAATTATGTAGTTTGCTGAGTAAGACTATGGAATCGTGAAGATCCCATTTTGCCCTCGTACAAACATAGAATTGTTAACGCTGGAAAAGATCACTAATATCTCCACGTCCAACCCCAGCCCATCCCCACTGACCACATCCCTCAGTGCCACATCTCCACAGTTCTGGAACACCTCCAGGGATGGAAACCCCACCAGTGCCCTGGCCAATCTGTTCCAATGCCTGTCCACTCTTTTGGAGAAGGATTTTCTTCCTAATATCCAACCTCACATGAAGCATTGGAGAGTTTTCTCCTTGCTGTGCAGGTCTCTGGCCTGTGATGCTCAAGGTGGCTGTACCTACAGTTTAACATCTTCCCTCTAGAAATTCTGTCTTTGTCAGGCTTAGGACAGCTGTTCTGGTGTATCTCAAAGAACCAATGTATCGAGGAGGTTGTCCATGCCCCTAACAACTTGCAGAACTTGGAAATACTAGGCTGACGCTGATGGGATTGCAGGATCACAGCTGCAGACACATTGCACTTGTGTGACACCACTCCAATTATGATAGGGAGCAAAAAATATTAAACAGTCTGCTTGGGAAATGTCCACTGGGGTTTTAAAGGTCTGCCAAAGAACAGCTCACTGAGGTGGGATCTGTGTAATGGGTGCGTGCTGGGCACTGCCCTATGGGATGGCTGTTCTTCCTTCACACTGCAACGTGGGTGACTTAAAGGGAAGCTGTACTTCCAGAAAGCAGAAACACCAGTGGATGTGGCATAGTGTAGGTCTCTGCTGCCCCTTCGAGGCTACAGAAGGCCCCACTTGCTCAGCCTAGGACTCATCAAGCCCTGTTGCACAGAGCAGGCAGGGTTTGCACCGCCGCAATCCTTTTAGCATCGCAGAGCGCAGCTGAGTTTCCCCCAGCAGCTCGCTGCCACCGTGCTGCAGAGGCTGAAGAAATGGGTCTCCCCCTTTTAATTTGAGTAGCAAATTTTTATGCAGGTGACTCTCTGAACGTGGTGGAAGTCTTTGACCCCATTGCCAACCGCTGGGAGAAGTGCCAGCCGATGACGACGGCGCGGAGCCGCGTTGGTGTGGCCGTGGTGAATGGGCTGCTCTACGCCATCGGGGGGTACGATGGGCAGCTGAGGCTGAGCACTGTGGAGGTGTACAACCCTGAGATGGATTCCTGGTCCAAAGTGGAAAGCATGAACAGCAAACGAAGGTATACAGGCTCCCTGAATGTATGGCTTTGGAGCTGGAGGGATAAAAGTGAGGTTGTAGGAAGGCTGGGGGGTGACGGTGGATGCCAAATGAGGGGTCCTTGTGTGGGACAGCAGAAAAATAAAAGGGGGGTAGAGGAATGGGGTGATACAAAAGCAGGAGAGGTTTCCTTGACCACATCTGGGTCACCTGTGCTGCTTCTTGCTGGTAAGAAGGGACAACTTTTATCAGCTCAGCAATACAGCATTGATTTACAGGGAAATTGGCAAGTGAAAAGCAGCTGAGCAGTAATTAGTGTGAGCTGTTAACTACAGAGGTCTTTTAGTTCTCATGACATATAGGAGTGAAGTCAAAAGTGTTTGTTAACATTCTGTAAGGATTTGAACTTGAGTCCCAAGGAAAGGAGTCAGAGCTCCATTTCTTCATACTGTGATACTAGATGGTAGGCAAAGCACTGGTGAGCACAGTGTAGGAAATTCTCCACTGCTAAGAGTAAGAATAAACCTGTTTTTCTATCTCTGGCCACTGCTAGGATTGTCTTTCCCTACCAGAAAGCACAGGAGAATCATAGCTCAAAAAGAGAGGAAGATTTTGGTAGCCCAGACAGAGACATTTACAGCTAAGCCAAAGGTGCTTGGCTTTGACCAGAGCTTCCACAGTACATGGCCACCCTAGGGATCGTTTTGTGGTTGGTTTGCCTGTGTTATTTTGATATCCCACCTCCTAAGCTGTGTGATTATTGTCCTCCCCACCACAACACGGTGGCTGCTTCCATCTTTAAACACACTCCTGGCTTCCATGGGTTTTGCTGTGGTTTTCATCACACTCATGCCTGGTCACTGAGAGCTGCTAAATTGCTTGCTGTTCTGCAAGCTTTGCAGTGCTTGTTTATCATCGTGGTTTGTTTGTTGTGGTCTGAGATGTGGATTGCTTGGGTAGATTGCACTGCAAGAGGCTGAGTATGGGAAATCTGAGGCACGAGGCTCTCAGTGGTGGCATCCCTGTGACTGCTGGTGCCACACTGCTTCACAGGAGCGTCTCACAGGAACAAGTCCTGGCTGTTGTGGTTCTTAACCAAAGCTTCATGTCTGGCTCAGAGGCAGAGTTCATCTAAATTCCTAGAACAGTTTCCATCCTGTGAGATCACCCACGTTTATAATTTGTAGCAGAAAAGCTCAGTTTTTCCATAGCGTTGAGGCTCCTGGGAGCTTTTCTCACAATGAGAGGCGGATGCTCTTCCATGTTTGGGTTTCTCCATGCCAAAGCCAAGCAGGATGGATGTCAGATGCCCTTGTGTAGGGGAAAATCATAGAATCATAAGAATGGCCTGGGTTGAAAAGGACCACAGTGCTCATCTAGTGCTCCCTACTGTGTGCAGGGTCCCAACCATCAGACCAGGCTGCCCAGAGCCACATCCAGCCTGGAAAACCTCAGCTGCTGTATAAATCCCTTGGCTCTTGAAGTAGGGCTGAGGTTCTGCCTTTGAGAATTGTGTTTCCAAGGTTCTAGAAAGAAGTTTTTTTACTTCACTTTCAAAAGTGGGATTCTAGTCTCTTACTTGAAGCATCCCATTTGGTAGCCTTTTGCACACCCAAATAGGCAACTTAGAAGGTGTTGTGTGATGGTGTTCCAGCGGGGTCAGGCACCATCACTGAGCCAGCTGTACATCTGACAGCATCTCCTGTGTGTCCTGAGGCTGTGTGGCCTCTGGCTGCAGAAAAGAGTCATTAATGTTGGAACAGATCACTGATAGCACCAAGTCCACCCCCCAGCCTAACCCCACCATGTCCACTGACCACATCCCTCAGTGCCACGTCTCCACTGTTCTTGTGCCCCTTCAGGGACAGACACCTTAAGCCCCATTTAGTTCGAACCCCAAATCAGTACCCTCAGGAGACCCAGCGTTGTAAAGATTGATTGTAGACAACAGATGAGGCAGATTGGGGTGGATTTGGCACGCTGTGGGCTGTAAGGCCATGCCAAACCATCTGGTGGCTCTGCTGCTTGTTGCAGTGCGATGGGAACCGTGGTGCTGGACGGGCAGATCTACGTTTGCGGCGGATACGATGGAAACTCCTCGCTCAACTCCGTGGAGTCCTATTCTCCAGAAACAAACAAGTAAGAGCTCTGTGTGCCGTACAGCTTATCCTCCTGCTGCTGCCAGGGGTGTGCCATGCACGATGTAAGAGAGCCCTGTCAGTAAAATAAAAGGCGCGAAGTTAGGTGGAAAGCATTCCGTACGATGTCCCTCCCAGCAGGAGGTGCAAGCAGACTAAACCCATGATTTATATGCAGTAAGAAGTGAAGGGAGAGGTACTGAAAGCCAGCGCTGGAAAGGCCTGCAGAGCTGTGACAGCCTGTGGAGCAGCTGCTTGCTGTGCTAACCTCTCTCCTCTCTTGGCAAGGTGGACAGTGGTGACTCCCATGAGCTCCAACCGCAGCGCTGCTGGTGTCACTGTGTTTGAGGGCAGGATCTACGTGTCAGGAGGGCACGACGGCCTGCAGATCTTCAACAGTGTAAGTGCATAGAGTCACAGAATGGCCTGGGTTGAAAAGGACCACGATGCTCATCCAGTTCCAACCCCCTGCTGTGTGCAGGTCACCAACCAGCAGCCCAGGCTGCCCAGAGCCACATCCAGCCTGGCCTTGAATGCCTGCAGGGATGGGGCATCCACAGCCTTCTTGGGCAGCCTGTGCCAGTGCCTCACCACCCTCTGTGTGAAAAACTGCCTCCTCATATCCAACCCAAACCTCCCCTATCTCAGTTTAAAACCATTCCCCCTTGTCCTATCACCATCCACCCTCACAAACAGCCATTCCCTGTTCATGCACTGTGAGTGCTTCTTCCCTGTGTATCCCCTGAAGCAGGGTTTAGTGTGGGACAGACAAGGCTCATTCATCTGCCTGGGAGTGAGAATGCAGGAAGCAGTACCTGAACTGGGTTTTCATTCATGTGCTGCCCTCAGCAAGTTGTAATTAAGGGATTTGCAGGGAGCAGCAATAACTATTTCCACCTCACCCAGCAGATCAAGTGCAGATGATTGTCTGCAGCCTGCAGTAACGCAGAGCCAAGATCTGCAAATCTGCTTGTCTCAGCTCCTTCCTGAATTGGATGAGTTTGAAGCAGTGCTGAAGTTCTTGCAGGAGGGGTCCATCTAATGGTCTCTCCAGAAACACAGGGGATACAGAATGGTGTTGATTTGGGGGGAGGTTGGGGGTTTCTGCTCCACTCCGCTCCCCTCTCCTTTCCTTTTGTCTCCTCATGGAACCACTGCAACGTGCTGCCAGGGAAAGCAGGGGGTCTCTCTAGAGAGGTCTTTGAGGACAGCTTGAGCACACAGCCTTTGGGTCTCACAGCTTTGGTTGTTTCTGCTCTGGGGCACCCACATAATTTTGCACGCAGGAGGAAAATGGTAAATCTTCCTTTTGCTATCTAGAAATCATAGAATCATTAAGGTTGGAAAAGACCTGTAAGATAATTTAAGTCCAGCTCCAAACCACCTCACCATGACCTCAGTGCCACAACTCCTGATTTCTTGAACACGTGGGACGGTGACTCTGCCACCCCCCTGGACAACCTCTGCCACTGCATTACAGCTCTTTTGGAGAAGAAAATTTCCCCAATGCCCAACGTGAGCCTCCCCTGGTGCAGCTTGAGGTTCCTGTACCTCTTTAAAACACAACCTGGAAGCTGATAAATAGGGAAGGAGGCAAAGGGAGCTGCATTTTCTGCGGTCTGTGCAGCAGTGGCTGGTGGCACCCAACTCATTAAAGAAGTTGAATGGCATTATGGAGTTGGAGCATATGAAATCAAGGAACAGGGTCGGGCTGAATGGGGCTCTGAGCAGCTGATGGAGCTGTGGGTGTCCCTGTTCAGTGCAGGGGAGCTGCACTAGATGGCCTTTAGAGTTCCCATCCAGCTCAGATGATTCCACGATTCCCTGCTAACGCCGTTTTCCCCTAGAGCTTGAGCTGACGAAAGTGTGTGATGTGTCTGTGCGTTGCTGGATGCCTGCCTTGAGCTTCCCCCTGATGCTGTGCCATCCCTGTGTCTGTAGGTGGAGTACTACAACCAGCACACGGCCACCTGGCACCCGGTGGCCAGCATGCTCAACAAGCGCTGCCGCCACGGGGCGGCGTCGCTGGGAAGCAAGATGTTTGTGTGCGGGGGTTACGACGGCTCTGCCTTCCTCAGCATGGCTGAAGTGTACAGCTCTGTGGCGGACCAGTGGTATCTCATCGTCCCCATGAACACCCGGAGGAGCCGTGTGTCCCTGGTGGCAAACTGCGGCCGCCTGTACGCCGTCGGGGGTTACGATGGACAGTCCAACCTCAGCTCGGTCGAGATGTACGACCCGGAGACCAACCGCTGGACGTTCATGGCCCCGATGGTGTGCCACGAGGGGGGGGGTTGGCGTGGGCTGCATCCCCCTGCTGACCATCTGAGGAGGCAGAGGCGAGGAGCTGCCTTGTCACCGACAATCGTGGGAGAGCTCCAGCCGGCGTTTCCCGCTCTGATAGCCAGAGAGATCCATCTCCAGGTGCTCAAACACACACAAGAACTTGACACGACCACCCCCACCCTTGGCTCTTGGGCCGAGGCCCCTGAAGGATCGACGTTTTCCAGACTACGATGCGAGGTGTGAATGTGCTGCCCTGAGCAAGGAGCTGCCCTCCTCCCGCTTTCGCCTCTGCGCAGAGCCACAGCTGAGCAAATCCTTCCTCTCCCCAACAGCGCCCAGCCGCGTCGGTGTGCTTTGGCCAACGCTGGGAGGTGGTGGTGTGGGTTGGGAGGGAACAGAATTGCACAGATGGCTGCTTCCGTGACTTGAAGAACACCTGCACACCTTCTGTCGGCAGCAAGGACCCCGGCATCCCAAGAGTTTGATCAGCAGTGGTCTTTTTTTGGGTTGTTTCAGCTTAATGCTGACCATGTTGAGATCTTACCCTGTCTACCAAAGCAGGCAGAACCTACCAATGTAGGCCTGTAAGACCATATCCAAGCTCTGCAAGTTCGGGTGCTTCTTGCACAAGCCACTGCTGGTTTCTCCAAATGCTTTCTTCAGCTTAGATGGGGAAAATTTCTCCACAAGAGCCACATGATGGAGAAACTGGGGGGAGAAAAAGTCGGTTAAACCATGGGAGCGTTTTAGCAAACATGGGAGGAAGAATGCCAAATGTCAACCACACTAAGCAACAGCCTTAGGATTTCAACAGAGGAGGCAAACCGAGGTGTGAATGGTCAGGATAGCCCTTAATGGTCAATAGATGTCTCCAAAAATAAGCTTTGGCTTTTCTACATTGGTATGTGAGAGGCAGCTGACGCAGAGTGGCCGGGATCTTTAAGGAGGAGAGGGATCACTGCCTCTGTTTGTGACAGCACAGGAGGTCTGTGGCTGTGTTGGGGCAGCTGCAGTTCAGCTCTGAGGAGCAGAGGAACCTGCAGCAGCCTTCCTGCAAGGCGCTGGTGGGAAACCACACTTCCCCAGCACGGGTGAGATCAACGTCTTGGGGTTTGTGTGCTGGGAAAGGTCTTGGCAATGTGCTTATTTCATGGCAGCCACGCAAAGAAACTTCCTGTGGCCAAACTGTGGCAGGGCTGCAGGTGCTGCCCCGTGTCCCTGCTCGTCCCGTCGGGCTCAGCACCGCTTCCAGCCCCTCTCCCTTTGCTATTTTCAACCCTGTTTTCACTGCAGCCAAAGGGAGCTGCTGCTGCTGCTGGCTTGGTCCTTCCCAGAACCAAACCCACCGAGCACCACTTGCCTGCGTCAGCCCTCCAGCATTTCCCCTGCATGAATGTGAATGGTGAGAGCCACGGCTCCCTGCCCACCAGCACAGCCACAGGGCAGGGAGCCCCTCAACACTACGCCCACTGCAGGCAGCGGGGGGGCTCACTGCTGCCCTGTGTTTCCAGGAGCTTTGGTGTCCCCCCACCCAAACCCGTGCTTCTCCTTCATAGCTGACTCCCAGCTCGGGATTTTAACTTTGGGTGTATATGTGGATGTCTATATATTCAGGTACTGTGTATATTTTAGGTATATATAACGAGCATATCTGGCTATAAATGTGGTTTTGTCAGTATGTATTTCTTCTGTATACGGACGTCAGTGGATGGGTTCACTGGGTGAATTCACTGCGAGGTTTCCCTGCTGCTAAGACACTTTAAAAAGGAAAAACAAAACAAAGCACGAGTATTGCAATGGAAATGAAGCTGCTTTGGCATCCTCACCTTGCTCCTGGGTGGGAGGAGACACGGGGGGAGCTTTGGGCAGCAGCTTTAGCCCTGGATCTGCATGATCCCCTCCCTGCCAGGAGGCTTGGAAGGAAGTGGGAAGGCTTCCAGCTGAGAGCTGCCTAGCTGCAGGCTGTGGCAGGGAACAGTTTGTTTGTACAAGCATCAGCTCCTAGCTCTGAGCAGAGCGAGGGGGACTCAGAAGAAATGTGGGGCTCCACGTGGGGTTTTGCTCTCTGCATTTGGGAAAGGGAGACGTGGGCAGGCTGAGAGTTGGGCAGAGAGGAGGACGGTGAGGCTCAGCAAGGGCGAGTTTGGGGTCCTACAGCTGGGGGGAGTTACTGCATGCATCAGAATAGGTCGGGGGTGAGCTGGAAAGGAGCTCTGTGGGGAAGGAGCTGGGTGTTGTGGTTGACCAGCAGTTGGCCAACCATTGACCACAACTGTTGTCCCCGGCTCATGGTCACCCTGTGTGCATTGCAATGGGACTCTGGGGGGTGCATTGCACCCAGTGCGGCCAGCAGAGCAACGGAGGTTCTCCTGCCCTCTGCTCTGCCCTGATGAAGCTGCATCTGGAGCACTGGGGCCATTGCTGGGCTCCCCAGTATCAGGCAGACAGGAAACTGATGGGGGAAAGGCTGAGAGCCCCGGGTCTGTTCAGCCTGGAGAAGATGAGAGGAGATGTTACCTCCTCTGGAGACGTTCAAAACCCACCTGGGTGCTTTCCTGTGCGACCTGCCCTAGGGAACCTGCGTTCTGTAGAAGTCCATTCCAACTCCTGTGCTTCTGGGATTCTGCACCCCACACAAGGCAAAACATGCAGCCCCAAAGCGAAGCCCTTCTAATTCCCACTGCCTCTCCAGCTGCCCAGGGAGGAGGATGGGAACAAACCCCACAAAGCTTCTCTTTGCTGCGGCTCTCCAAGAAAAACAGCAGCAATCCGATCCCTTCCCGTGCGTGCCGCCCAGCCCTGTGTTTGTCCTGGAAGCGGAGCCCCATGGCTGTGCTGCTGCTGGCTGTGCTGCTGCTGGCTGTGCTGCTGCCCACCGCCCCGTCATCCACCGCCCCACTGCCCCCCACACCACGCGAGCTGGCCCGCACCGTGCTGGAGGCACACGGGCGCGATGCGGGCAGCGGGCTGAGGCTGCTCAAGCTGCAAGGAGTCACCAGGACGGTAGGAGCCTCGCTCGGTTTCCCGCTGGGTTTTGGGGAAGAGGGAGCTTTCTTGCTGTGCCAAATGCTGTCGTTCCCTTGCAGAAGTTTGACTGGGGCACGCACTTCACCATCAATCTCACCGCCCGTGAGATCTCCTGCCCCGCCGGCCCCACAGCGCCACGCAGTGCTGCATGCAGAGCCCGGCCGGGCCAGGTGGGTGTGGGGCACGGTGTGGGACCCCCTCCCAGCACTGCTCCCTCCTGATCCCCCCATCCTGCAGCAGATCCAGCACTGCGTGGCCCAGATCTCCGTCTTTGCCTTCCTGCCTGACGTGCCGCTGTCGCTGCTGGAGTGCAGCCGGCAGACGGTGAGGGCTGCATGAATTCCTGCTCCCTACATCCCCTCCACTTTGGGGCTGAAGCCCACCCCCATTTCTTATCCTTCAGCCCAGCAGCTCAGGGCAGCCCCGCTCCCGAAGCCGGCACAGCCCTGCAACCCCACGAGCCGTTGGCCTCAGGGAGCCGGCGCCGTCCTGAAGCCCATGAGCGCATCCATCCTGCAGCAGGGGACGTGCAGACCTCATTCATGGAGCCCGTCCCATAGACCCAAGGGCTGAAATAAAGATGTTCCAGGGCTGTGCTGTGTGTGTGATGCCTCGCCCCCATCCTGCAGTAGAATGGGATTGAGGTTGCACAAACCTGCAGCTTTTGGGTCATGGTGGGGCGGCTGCAGCCCCACGTGCGGCATCTCCATCCCAGCTGCCAGTAGCACGTTGGCCAACCCTTGGGCTGATAACAGATGGCAGCACACAGGGCTGCTCCACGTGTCTGGCTCAGAGCCTGGGGGCTGTTGCAGGGGATAGGAGGGGACAAGGGCGGCTGTGTGGGGGGTACTTGGGAGTACAGCCCGTGTGGTTTGGGGACAGAATGCTGTGGGGATGATGGGGAGTTGAATGGGAAATGGCTTGTGGGAGTGCGTGGGTCAAAAAGCCTTCACATGAGGGTGGGGACAGGGATGGGAAGGAGTTCTTGAATCCAATGGCAGCTGTCCCATGGGTCTGGGGGTGCCTGGAACCTCCATTGTCTCTGGGATCCAGACCGCAATGGGATGGAGCCTCATCCCAATGGGATGGAGTCCGATCCATCCGTCTGTCCCAGCTGGGCACTGCCAGTCTGTTCCTTGGGAACCATTTTATGGCCACGTGGCCTCTCAACCAGAGCACCCTGCAGCACAGCCAGGGATGTGGGATGCAGCCTGCAGCGGGACAG